CACAGTTGCTGAATAATCCCTGTTCATGTTTCGTAATTTTGTTTGTTTAATGTCGCACGGTGTTCGGAGTTTTGTTCTCTCCTGTCTCCTTGGAATTTAGGCTTTGTGCAGCTCATCATTTTAATTAAATCGTTGGCTAGGTGGGATTGTTCCCCTATGTTTCTTTCTTCCACCACACTGCGGCGCCACCAGCAGGTAATGCCTCATCGCTCAGCCGAGTGAAACAAAAGAATAGCTAACCAGAGGCGGAACTGGACAAAGACTGTCAGTAAAACAGATTTCTGTTTTTCCTGTTCTCGTTTCGGTTTCTGCTTTGTTTTACTGCGCTGTCCGTTTCTCAGACTTTACAGAAACGTGTTAGGATGAGGGGTGAATAATGAATTGGAAAGGACTTGAATGGAAGCGGTCGTAGCCTAATCGAGGTACATCCTGACATCTCTATGGAAGGAAGAGGAAAATCACGAAAGACTTCAGTCATGATACCTTATGCTCCGGCCAAGATTCGAACCTACCATCACCCAGATCGGAGTGTAGAGCATTACCGCTGCGCCAACGCGCTCGTTGTATGTCTATCCTTAAGTTTCAGGCCCTTAAGTATGAAGATGTAAGGGGAGTGGAGGTATAGCTCCATGTATTCTTAATCTCTGCAGTGGGTTGAAATGAGTGGTTATCTTCGTTTCTCGACTGCCTTGCCCTGACGGAGAGAGATCCCAGTACCAGTAGACAGGAGACTGGGTGAACCCCAGACCCCATCTGCCACTATGAGGAGTTGAACCCTGGTCTCCCAGCCCTTAGTCTGATCAGTCTACTGAGCTGGGCTACTGAATTATATGTGGCCAGTCTGATTAATATTTTCATGAGTTCACTACGCCCTCTGGGAGCACGCGGCAGCGTAGTTGGTTGGGGCAACGTGCTACAAGTCGGAAGGTCGCGGGTTCGATTCCCAGTGAAGTAATTGGATTTTTTAATGGATCTAATTCCTCCAGCCACACTATGCCCCTGTGGTCTAATCAGCCTCTAACAGTAATGAGTACCAGGAATCTTCCCGGGTTTAAGTGTGGCCGACGCGTGAGGCTCAGAACCTCACCGCCATCTATAATTGTCTTGAAAATGTGGGAGGCTCGACATCTCACAGCTCTATGGGCCTCCACGGCCTGTTGCAGGGATAGCTTGAAAGCTTCACTACTGAGGTATTCAGAACAGCTGTGCGCGTGCGCCGACGTGGCTTCCTGCCCAGAGGGATCAACTGGAATGAAACACTCCGAGCATGAAGCTGGCCATTTCCCCCTTTATAATACCAAGATTAGTTGTTATTTATTTATTTATATATACCCTGCCAGTAGCTTAGTCGTTTCTTGTTACTTGACGCTGTCGGTATCGAGACTGTACAGCGAGGATGTAGGATGTTTAATGAACATGGAGGAGTTAGTGGAATCAGTTCTGGAAGGGGAAACGGAAGCACTTAAACGAAACCTGCCCCATTGCCGCTTCGTCCACCGTAAACCCTACATGGCGTGAGCTTGGATCGAACCCTCTCCCCAGCGGTGGGAAGACAGTTACTGACTACCCGAGCTATGGCACGGCCCCAAGCCGTGATAATATATCTGTTATTTGACCACAGTTTCCTTCCAGATTCTTGTCGGTTCACTATTCATTGATAATCCTAAAGGTTCGGCCACACAGCGCTACGCTATGTTCGCTACGTGCGCTGTGTACACTCTGTGACGCAGCTAACTTAGGGAACATAGCATACGTAGCGTACGGAAGTCTGTGTGACCAGTCACATTGGCAATAAAGGGAGATATTTTTCTGTTCGTATAGCGAACATAGCATACGTAGCGCTCTGTGTGGCTGAACCTTTACGCCGTGTTTTCCAGGTTGTATTGTACGAATAACTCCTGCATTTCATGCGCTAAATGGTTACTTTTGCGGTAAGTATTTGGGCTGGGCATTTAGCACGCATGGGAGAGAGCAGAGGTGTATGCAGGGGTTTGGTGGAAACTGCTGAAAGGAAAATACCACTTAGAAAACGTAGGCGTAGATAGGAGAATAATATTAAAATGGATCTTGAAGGAATTTTGTCGGAAGAATGTGAATTGGGGCTCGTGATAGGGCCGGGAAGCGTTTTGTTTTATGAATACAGTACTAAGCTACCTGGTTTCATAAAATTTTTTGGACATTTTGTCTAACTGAGCAAGTATTAGCTTCTGGAAAATGACAGCTTCATAGAGTTACTTAGTTCCTGTTATGAGGCCGCGCCATAACTCGCGCGGTAAGTCGCTGTTNAGTTCCTGTTATGAGGCCGCGCCATAACTCGCGCGGTAAGTCGCTGGCTTCCCACCGCGTCGGCCCGGGTTCGGTCCCGGGTCTGGTCAAGTGGGATTTGTGGTGGACAAAGTGGCGCTGGGGCAGGTTTTCTCCGAGTACTTCGGTTTCCCCTGCCAATTTTCATTCCACCAATTGCTCCACAATCACCCTCACCTATCATCTGGGGCTGGTACAATAGGCCAGAAGTGGCCGCAGTACAAGGGACTTAGTCCCACTCCACTAGCAATAAAAATAGTTCCTGTTATGTGTTGATACCAATATTTGCCCATATTTGCGATATGCATGCTGCAGGAAGTATGTCATACAGTCACAAATCTGTATGGCTCCCCTCACTGACATTATAAACTGGCAACTGAATACACAATGCTGTGCACTGATCAGACAAAACAGGTTATGTATATATTGTCACGTTATATAGTGACTATAGATGGGGTTTGGATTGAAAAAGGATTTATTAAACTTTGAAACAACACATGACTAGACTTTTCTAATCTGTGTCAAAAACAGAGTACCGTTCTCAGTCACGGTCTTCACTAGCCGTTGTTTGGTAGCGGCTTCCAACTGCGGGCTTTCCTCTTCCTCTTGGTTCCCCAATTGACCCATGCCTCAGCTTCTGCAACTCTCAAGTGACTGCCTGCAGACTCTCTCTCGACTGAGCCATCGCTTTGCAATGGGCATGTTTACCGAGACGTTCCTTAGAAATGGCTGTCTCTTCTGGCTTCACAATTGTGGATTTCAGCAGACGTGTCACAATATAAAAATTATTTTTAAGCATGCGAATAATCATTGCCGTTAAACATTTTGGGTTACCATAGCAACTAACTGTTGAGCGTTGACATGTTGCGTGAACGTAAGCAACGAACAGTCAGCCTTTTGTTTCAGCGTATAGTACTGCTCTGTGAGCACTGATTACGTTTCCATGTGGTAATATGAAATTTAGTGTAAGTATATAAAGGAGACGGTTTAGGGTTGAATATTTTTGCGAGTTATTCGTGGTAGATGGTTTTAAACGTAGGCTTCGATGTATCATACGATAACAGGTAGTACTGGGGAGGAATGCTGGATAAAACAAGGGAAGTTAAAGAGTATGAAGACGTGCCATGACAAACAACTAGACTAACTTCACGGAGTTGAGCCCTTCTTGAGAAACCGCCAGTTGTGTAGCTGCTCAAGCACTTCCCAGCATTTTATGGAACCCGAAGGTTCATCACCGGTTCACAAGAGCCCTCCACTGATCTCTATCCTGAGGCAGATCTATCCAATCCATACCATCCCATCCTGTCTCTCTAAGTTCCATTCTAATATTGTCCACACACCTACGCCTTGGTCTTCCCTGTGGTCTCTTTCCTTCTGGCTTTTCCACCAATATCCTATACGCATTCCTCGTCTCCCCCATTCGTGCTACATGCCCTATCCACCTCATCCTCCTTGAGTTGATCATTCTAATTATACTTGCAGAAGAGTACAAATTATGAAGCTCCTCATTATGCAGTTTTCTCCAACCTCCTGTCACTTCATCTCTCTTCGGTCCAAATATTCTCCTCAACACCCTGTTCTCAAACACCCTCAGCCTATGTTCCTCCCTTGATGTCAGAGACCAAGTTTCACACCAATACAGAACCACAGGCAAAATTATACTTGTTTATATTCTAATTTTAATGTTTTGGACACCAGACGAGAAGACAAAAGGTTCTCGACTGAATGGTAGCAAGCATTACCCGAGTTCAGTCTCCTCTTAATTTCCTCCTGAATCAGGTTTTGGTTTATTGTAGTCGTTCCCAAATATCTGAACTGTGCCACGTTTTCAAAACATCTTTCACCTATGTTTTTGTCATGATTTTGACCCGTATTTTGGTGACGTGACGGCAACATATACTTAGTTTTCTCTGTGTTTACTTCAAACCAAATCCCTTACTTGCGTCAATTACAGCTTTCTGTTTCTCTTTATGGTATCTGCATTATCACCCAGTAGATTCACATCATCAGCATAGGCCAACAGCTGATGTGTCCCATTTAATTTCAGTCTCACCTGGTTTCCCTGTACCTTCCTAATTGCATATTCTGAAGCAAAATTGAAAAGGAGTGGCAATAAAGCATCTCCTTGTTTTAGACCATTCTGGATAGGAAATTTATCAGAGAAATATTTACCTACACGGACTTTACTATACTTTTCGTTTAAACACATTTTAATCAGCCTAACTAGTTTCATGGGTACCCCAAACTCTTATCAGAATATTGTACAATACTTCCCTCCTAACTGAATCACACGCTTTCTTGAAGTCTATGAATAGCTGATGTACTGTCTTATTGCACTGCCATGTCTCTTCCAGTATCTGACGAATGGAAAACTCTGATTTGTAGTTGATCTGCTACGTCGAAACCCACACTGATGATCCCCAATAATTTCATCTATGTATAGACATAACCTTGAGAGAAGAATATTGGATACAATTTTGTATGAAGTTGATATCAGTGGCATCCCCCGATAAGTACTACAGTCAGTTTTATCACCCTTCTTATGAACCGGTACAGCAATGGACTCCTTCCACTGATCAGGTAGTTCTTCCTTATTCCAACAAACGATGGCACTTGCTGTATAATCTCAACGGTTCTTAACGCTACTTGTAATTCAAAATACCCGTGCAGTGAATTATCCAAAACGAAAAAGTTACACAAACTATGTTTTATTTGAATTAATTCCGATAGAAATATTATGACAATGATTGTATGACAAATATTATTTGAAACACAACTTTTCAATCTAAACACAAATGAAGCCATACTGATTAGGCACGTAATAATATACAGACCCATGATGGGACATGTTATTTGATGTACAGGTTGTGCAAAATTCAGGACACACTTCATAGTAACTTCAAGTATCCCCACCAGTTTTGAAGCTCGTATCACTGTGTGAGGTGGTACAGTTTAAGTATTCATATTCGTACGTGAATATGTATATGCGAGATTTGATTATATCTGCAAGAGAAATCACGAAATGTATTTCAATGATACGATTAATGGATATTTTCCTCATTTTAAAGTGTGTCCTGACTTTTGCCTCATTCAGTATATGTGTAGCTATCGACCGGAAGCGCTGTCCGATCTACTCGCTGTCCTTGAAGGTGATTACAACGTCCTTCTGGTAAATGTTGGATCTGAAGAAGTTATCGCTGTTGATTTGCCTATCGAAGGGGAATCCCATGGGCTTGCTGTCCGGGTACTTGTGTCCCGAAACGGTACCACAGTAGCTAATGGAGCCCCCGTAGTCGTAGTCCCAGGGTAAATCATTCACCTACAACAGAAGGATGGCACTTTACGTCGCACTGTGTCTGAAATAGTGACATATTGTATTTCATTATGTCTGCTTTCAACACATGATGGAAGCAGGATGTTCCAGCTAAATATTTTGGGATTGAGTTGATTTTTTGTGCATGTTACTTTTATTTATGTTAAATACCTATCAGACTAGACGGCGTCACATCTCTTTATCTCCACTCTACTGGGAACCTTTTTTTATTTCTAGTGGGGTGGGACTAAGTCCCTTGCACTGCGGCCACATCTGGCCTATTGTACCAGCCCCAGATGATAGGTGAGGGTGATTGTGGAGAAATTGGTGGAATGAAGATTGGCAGGGGAAACCGAAGTACTCGGAGCAAACCTGCCCCAACGCCACTTTGTCCACCACAAATCACACTTGACCAGACCCGGGATCGAACCCGGGCCTCCACGGTGGGAAGAGAACGACTAACCGCTTGAGCTATGGCACGGCCCTTACTGGGGACCTTACGACGGCAGTAACTTTACTCTCTTACGTTGCAGATCGAAAACAAAGCGTGCCCCTGGTTCTCATATTGGCGTGGGGATCCGCTGGTACTTATCACCGCCAGAAGGATTAAGAACTAAGGAAATCACACTTTAAACCCTTTTCATATTTACACTTTTAGTAGATGTTCATTTATTTTAACACAGAGTGTCCCCCCAAAATGTACACACATTTCAATAGAGGTTATTTAATAACATTTTCAAAGTTGAACCGAAATATAATGTACGGTGTATAGTGTGGTATTCTCTCGACAGATGGTGATAGTCACATAAATACCGAAGCCACCTTATCTAATGGCAGAACAGTCAAAGAAAATGGCGGGTGAAAGGTGTGTATATATTTATTTGGGTTCCCTGTATTCATAAAATCCTGTCCCGTGTAGAGGCGGAGTCGAATGCCTCTACCTCCCAAGGGACTCGGACCCAAGAAAAACTGCTCTGGCAAGGACAAGTAGCATGGAAAAAAGACAGATCCGTCCTCTCGTCAGAGAGGGCGCCTCACAAAAAACAAAACAGTAACGTTCAACGTAATAAATATCTGGTCATGAGCTCCAGACGGGGCTCGACACCAAGACTTACTGACAGACTGGCCGTCAATCGCAATATGACTTGGACTTGAACATAAAATCCTGATTGGCTCATGTTACTCATGCATCAACCGGCTGCATAGGATGGAATGTGTTAAGAACTTTGGAACTCACCTTCTCCTTATCAAAGTCAGTCAGAATTACGAAGAGGCTGAAGGGCATGCCGTCTCGTTTGCCCTTGGGGAGTAGCAGGCGCTCTGGGTAGCCGCAATGGCGCACATCCTGTAAGAGATCAATGCTACCAGTAACAGTCTGTTAGAAATAAGCTGCTCTGGCCTTGACTCCAAGGCCTGTCTGTCTCTCTCTCTCTCTCTCTCTGTACAAGCTCCACAGATAACTGCATCTTTAAATACTTCGATGTGGCCTAGTAAGTTTAATGAAGCATCGGAAGAAACGAATGATATATAGTGCATTGCTACAGCCCTACCTCGAATTTATGGCTTCTTTCTTTCCCGAAAAAGGGACATAGTTAGTTAGTTAGTTATTTAGAGAGGGTGGGTTTCCCCGTGCACCGCGACCAGTTTGATGTATGTGCTTCCCTCTATGATATTCTACCAGTCTCTATACCCTACCAATACTGGTGCTTACCATCAGTCCCGACCAAGCCAGCGAGTTCGGCCTCTACTGGCTTGGCGGTATCTATGTTGCTTCCCCCATCTATCAGAGGCGTTAGAGACTACTGTTGGGCGGGAAATGTCCTTGAATTTGGCTCAGTGACCTCCTTAGGAGATATGAGGTTCTTTTACGTGCCGTAAAGCTACGACACGGGACCCACGGCTTAAAGTCCCTCCCGGAGGACTTGTTCCCTGGCCCTTAAAAATTCCACGACCTCCGACGGGTTTGAACCCGCGTACTACGAGTCATGAGGTGGGAACGTTACCTCTAGACTACGGAGGCCGCTATAAAGGGACATAAGTCCAAAAATCATAATTCTAGTTCATTATAACCTGGGATGTACAGGGGTACTCAGTCAACGTATTATCCACTGTCATATTAAAATAACTCACTCACTCGTGGAGCTGAGCCCTTCCTGAGAAGCCGCCAGTTGTGCAGCTACTCAAGAACTTCCCAGCAATTTATGGAACCCGAAGGTTCGTTATTGTGTTCACATGAGCCTTCCACTGGTCCCTATCCTTAGCCAGATGTCATGTTAAATTATGTTGTCTTTATTATAAAATCAATAAAGGGATTTCATATATGACGTTACTGAACGTTTTAACCATTGAACATATTAAAAATAAGTTTTCACGGGTCGTTGAGAGCTGCAGTTCGAGTCATCAAACATTTATAAACTTTATAAACAAAATAACATGGTGTGATATGAAACTCAGAGAAAACTAAGTATATGTTGCTGTCTCGTCACCAGAGTGCAGGGCATAATCATGACATAAAGATAGGAAACAGATGTTTTGAAAATGTGGCACAGTTCAGATATTTGGGAACGACGATAACAAATCAAAACCTGATTGAGGAGGAAATTAAGAGGCGATTGAACTCGGGTAATGCTTGGTACCATTCAGTCCAGAGCCTTTCGTCTGCTGTATAAAAAACATAAACATCAGAATATACAGAACTATAATTTTTCCTGTGGTTCTGTATGGGTGTGAAACTTGGTCTCCGACATTAAGGGAGGAACATAGACTGAGGGTGATTGAGAACAGTTTGCTGAGGAGAATATCTTGATCAAAGAGAGATAAAGTGACAGGAGAAAGCAGTCTTCTGGGATGTGGCGTCCTGTAGATATTGTGTTAATCGACGTTTCGAAGGAACGTATCGCCTCCATCTTCAAGGTAAAAGAAAAAATAAGAAAATCTGCTAGCGGGGAACCAGCGCGAGCAGGTGCTAACAGTCTAAGACTGCTTTCTTCATAGTCACCGCCGTGAAAACCTCAAATCTTACAAGTGACAGGAACTTTGAGAAAACTGCATAACGAGGAGTTTCATAACTTGTACTCTTCTCCAAGTTAATTAGAATGAACAAGACAAGGAGGATGAGATGGGCAAGGCACGTAGAGCGAATGGAAAAGAAGAGGATGGAAAGCCAGAAAGAAAGAGACCCCTAGGAAGACCAAGACGTAAGTTGGTGGATAATATTAAAATGGATCCTAGAGAGATAACATGGGATGGTACTGGCTGGAGAGGTCTTACTCAGGATGGGTACCAGTGGAGGGCTCTTGTGAACATGATAATGAACATTTGGGTTCCATAAAATGCCGGGAAGTTCTTGAGTAACTGCATGACTGGCAGCTTCTCAAGAAGGCCTCAGCTGAATGAAGTGCGTTAGTTATGGTATCAGAACCCGACATCTTCAACATCTCGTCGAATTCAGACAGGAGAGAGCTCTGGGTATGGATGATGCTGGGAGGGACTCGATTTGGGAGAGTGGGGTGTCGCTGGGGTCCCTGAAGGAGTTATCCAAGGTTCGCAATTCGATTTCCGCATTGCAAGTCCGAGGCTAATGTGATTGTATGTACTGAAGTTCGCAAGTGAGGGAGTCATGGGTCGAGGCTCAGCTGTATCATCGAATAGTCTTTGTGTTCGCATGTCCGAAAGACTAATTCGAGTCTACGGAAAGCGTAGCCACGATGGAGTACAGAGACTTAGCAGCGGCGCTACCTTGTCACTGTGGCTTTCTGTCGATACTGAGTCAATTGTTCTATTTATGTGCCTTGTGAAAAATGGATGTGTTTTTCTACGTTTCGGAAGTATATTGTGCCTTCGTCTTCAGGGCGGACGCTAAGGATTGAGACAACATATATCTAAAATGTCGCCAGCACTGCCCATATCCACACAGTGTAAAGGCCCACGAGCGGAGTCAACATCAACCGTGTTGAAACCGTTAAATATGGCTGAAATCACAATGGCGGACACGTTACGAACTTTCCCTTTTACCAAATTCAACAAAAACTTAACTAACATATTATATCATAGATGAAGTTCATTTATAACCTTATATAAAGTAGGCTTCAAGAACGAGGTGATGGGTATGGGATGTAGCAGGCATAGGAGAGTAAAGGTCGTGTATGCAGATTTCTTATAGGAAAGCCTGAAGGATGCGGACAAGGATAAAGGCAGACTTTGATGGGAGGGAAGTACTAAAATTATTCTTAAAGTAATGGAATTGGGCGGGTGTGGACTGGATTTCTTTGGCACAGGTTATAAATCGGTTCCGGGCTCTTGTGATGAAGGTAATGAACATTCGAATTTCTTGTGTGGCTAAGCAGCGGCTGGCTTCTCAAGAAGTTCCCAGCTCCATGGAGATAGTTTGTTTCTTAGCTGGAATTTGTTTTCGACCCGTGTGGCCGAAAACCTGATGTTTCCGAAAAATTTACTTGAAGTCTCCAACAGGGCACGTAATTAAAATGTTTTCAGCAGCTCAGGCACTGGTATAAGTCACAGACAATAGACGGAGTGACATGACCACCGCACCGGACATTTACTTCATAAAGAAAGCGTAGAGGTTTTGAGAACAGGGTGCTGAGGAGAACATTTGAACCCAAGAGAGAGGAAGTGACAGGAGGCTGGAGAGAATTGCTTAACGAGGAAAATTCTTCGTCAGGTGTTACCTTGTTCACTGTGTACGTCGCCTTCCCCTGCAGCGCGTCGTCAACCCGCCGCACGAGTATTTTGGTCGTCTCTCTGTCCGGAATTGCGACGCTGGACTCGCTGCTCTTCCGCTGTATAACGGTTGCCCCCTTGTTCACTGCAACACGGCACACATCACGTCACAGTTTTACTACAGTTAGTGCGGAACCGATCCTAAGCCAGTTCCAGCCATCTCCTAGCCTCACAGCCTATTTCCCTAAGATCCATCTTACTAATTAACTAACTCTCTGGTAGCAGAACCCGAAGGTTCAGCACGGCTAATACCAAACCCCGCCACTGGACACGATCCTGAGCCAGTTCCATCCACCTCCCATCCTCACAGCCTCTTTCCCTAAGATCCATCTTACTAATTAACTGACTCTCTGGTAGCATAACCCGAAGGTTCAACACCGCTAATACCAGAGCCCGTCACTGGACACGATCCTGAGCCAGTTCCATCCACCTCCCATCCTCACAGCCTCTTTCCCTAAGATCCATCTTACTAATTAACTGACTCTCTGGTAGCAGAACCCGAAGGTTCAACACCGCTAATACTATATCCCGCCACTGGACACGATCCTGAGCCAGTTCCATTCGCCTCTCTTCCTTAAAACCTCTTTCCGTAAGATTAATCCTAATGCTTCGGTCTTCTCACCAAGGTCTATTTACTTTCTTGCGGTTTAATCCAATCTACATTCTTACCCCATCGTAATTACCTCGGTTACGCCACTGTAACAAATATTGTAACCCGTATACGTCACAAAGTTCCTAGAATTATTTCACTCCTTATTCTTTCTTGATATATCTTCAAACATTTGTAATTTATCATCCATCCTTCCAGAATTCAAAACATTTACGCTTGGAAGAAAAATACGAAATTAATTTTGAGTTTCATATGTGGCGGAGCCCACGAATGGAAGAACATTCAGTCCAGTAAGTTTTAGTGTGGCTATGGTCACCGAGACTGCTCCCAGTCTACTCAGTAGTTCATAAGACGGAAGTGCTGACGGACAGAGGGAGACGTAGCCCTCACCTTTAGCAACAAACTTGTCGAGCTCTATGACGTAGAGCCGCTTCTCGTTGATGGGGATCTCTTGCCCGAACCAGTCGAACTTGGGGCCCAGGAAGATCCGAACCGCTGCCATTTGCTCCTGGTTGCTGTTCACAGTGATGCTGAAAGTGAAGGGGCGGTGGTTGAGGCGACGCACCCGGGCCTTTATCTCCACGTCCTTCAGCTCTAGGGTGTCATCCAGGGCGTTCAGCAAGTCGATGTCGAAGTCCTCGAAGTACGTGACCAGGTCGTCCACAGTGACGTCCTGAATCGCCACGCCCGGGAACTCGAGCTGCAAGGTAAGTGGTCACCGTTACCATGGGAACGACGAGTTCTGTCTTTTGGGATATAACTCCATGTAGTCCGTTAAAAGTTAACCGACGTTTCAGAGGAATACATCGCCTCCCTTTTCAGGGTCGAAAGTGAGTCTCTGCTTGCTAGTTGTCTCAAGCTGTTTTCTTACTTGGCGTATTCTTTAACTCTGAAGATGTAGGCGACATGTCCATCCGAAACATCGGTTGACTATCGACCGATCGGTGGGTTAAATTGCTGCTGGTCCTCGTCAGCACAATGATTCGTGATTTTGAATCCTTTCGGGACCCATGAACAAGATTTTTCCTCTCCTAGGCATATACGAGTTTAGAAATAGGGCTCCGTCTTCAATAAAGGGAGGTCTCTAGCTATTACTGGTTACTACTCTTCTAATGGGGTTACTCGGGCGGGCGCTCACTCATTAACTAGCCCCCTCTACACACGCACGCTCTACTCACAGACCTGTCAAGTCTTCTAGATAATATATAAAAATCCAGTCCGTACTTCACAGGAAACACATTACTTCTGCGTTACAGAGACGAACCGGTTAATGCTGTTTAGGGAAATAATTGCTGTTTATTGTGAGAAGCATAGGACAAATACATTCTGGAGGCAGAGTACAGATCTTTGTTATCTTAAAGCAGGTGATACATATAGTAACCACCGGGCTTTAATGGGATAAACACCGCTGAGAACCAAACACCTGACAGGTGACATAGAGATTGCGCAAGACGCTTTCCCAAGGAGGCAGCCAAGCATGCCGGCAGTGTTACATTGCAACTGCAAAGTAAGAATGTGACATTCAAACAGTGAGATAATGTTGTCGTGGAAACGGCAAGGAAACTGAGCCACGCTGCCATTTTGTGTTGCCAAGAGCAGTGATGCTACCGTGAACAATAACCTAACCATCCACTAGACCATAGGGCGACTGCCAGTGTCATGAGACAGTACGAGACTCGAAACCAAGAATCATTGTGCTGGCGAGGACCAGCAGCAATTTACCCGACAGTTTGTAACCATCCATACAGTGGCCGCGCCATATCTCAAACAGTCGCTGGCTTCCATCCGAGGCGGCCCGGGTTCAGACCCGGGACTGATAAAGTGAGATTTATGGTGAACAAATTTGCGCTGGGGTAGGTTTTCTCCGAGTACTTCGGTTTCCCCTGTCAATCTTCATTCCACCAAATTCTCCATCATCATAATCATCCGGGGCAGGTACAATAGTCCAATCAGTGGCCGCCGTGCCGAGTGGACCCAACTGGACTCCACCCCCCACTAAGCGAATTAAAAAAAAATCCACACAGCAAGGCAGTGTTAACCATAGGAAGAAGGAGGAGAATCTAGAAGGAACCATTGGGAGGCGACAAAAATAAAGAAAACAAGAGCTAGATAGAACGGGAAATGGAAGGAGAAGGACAAAGGAAAGGGAAATGAGGTGTAAGAAGACAAATTTCAGAGAAGGGATGAAGACGGTGTTGCCATAGAAAGAACAAGAACGGCAGTAAGGAGTATGTGGAGGGAGATGAAAAAGAGAGGGAACAACGTAAAGAAGAAGGAAGAATAGAATGAATTGGAAGAGAAGCAGAAGCAGAAAGAAGCGCTCACCTCTTCGCGTGCGTAAGGAGGCAGCATGTCCTTGTGCAGCTTGAACAGGTTGTCTATGTACTTGTGCAGCCTGAAGAAGGCAGGGTCGCGCGTCGCAGTCTCGAAGTGCTCCATGACGCCAGGGGGCATCTGAAAGAGGGCAGAGACTGCTGAATTCTGGGTCTAGGATAAAGCCAGTAGCAAGTAGCTGCTGGGTGTGTTGCTTCCGGTACTGAGAAGCTAGGGCAAAGTGTCACGCTTCATCCACATGTTTATAAACGTGAAAAGCAGGAACATTTGTGATACATTGATTTGTTTATGTTAACTGCCATTACGAGAGCCCGCCGCTGGACACGATCCTGAGCCAGTTCCATCCACCTTCCATCCTCAAAGTCTGTTTCCCTAAAATCCATCTTACTAATTAACTGACTCTCTGGTAGCAGAACCCGAAGGTTCAACACCGCTAATACCAAAGCCCGCCACTGGACACGATCCTGAGCCAGTTCCAGCCACTTCCCTTCCTTAAAACCCTTTCCCCTAACATTCGTGTTACTAAATAATTAACTCTCTGGTAGCAGAACCCGAAGGTTCGACACCGCTAATACCAAAGCCTGCCACTGGACACGATCCTGAGCCAGTTCCATCCACCTCCCATCCTCACAACCTGTTTCCCTGAGATGCATCTTACTAATTAACTAACTCTCTGGTAGCAGAACCCGAAGGTTCAACACCGCTAATAAACAAAGCCCGCCACTGGACACGATCCTGAGCCAGTTACATCCACCTCTCATCCTCACGACCTGTTTCCCTAAGATCCATCTTACTAATTAATTAACTCTCTGGTAGCCGAACCCGAAGGATCAACACTGCTAATACCAAATCCCGCCACTGGACACAATCCTGAGCCAGTTCCATCCACTTCCCACCGTCACAAACCCGTTTCCCTAAGAGCCATCTTACTAATTAACTAACTCTGTGGTAGCAGAACCCGAAGGTTGAACACTGCTACTACCAGAGATCGACACGGGCACAGTCCATCTGCCCTGTCCTTCCTAGTATTATCTGAAGAAATGACGTCATACTCACGTCGAACTTTCCCTTGGGGTCGGTGATCTGTCCGAGCAGGATGTGGCCGTAGTTGTGGAGCGCGCCGTAGTACTGCGGGTTCGGCGATTCTTGGGACGGCTCTACCAAGCTGCCGAGTATGTTGATGCCCATCGTGTCGTTCAGGGGCAGATTCTGGCCCCACCTCTGCATGACAGACAAGCCACATGACGCAAGCAGCGAGACAACTATTCATTATCAGTAGTCATATGAGAATTGGATTTATCACTATTGTTGAGTGTGGAGGTTACTCTCGTCTGGGATGTGACGCTGTGTAGACTAGTAGAAGGTAAACATACCCTGGCTATGTACGCAGCATGTTCCTCCGAAGCATTGGTATCTGTCTACCAACATACACAGCGCTATCTCCTACTCATTCTCCTCGTTTGCCTGTATTGAAATCCGTCATATGTATTTAACTGGAGGCTACTGCATAAGGCAGAGTCTCTACACTTAATTAATTACCACCGGGATTGGAGGTATAACTCCCTATATTCTTAACCTTTCTTTTTAATGCTAGTGGGGTGGGACTAAGTCCCTTGTACTGCGGCTACTTCTGGCCTACTGTACCAGCCCCAGATGATAGGTGAGGGTGATTGTGGAGCAATTGGTGGAATGAAGATTGGCAAGGGAAACCGAAGTACTTGGAGAAAACCTGCTCCAGCGCCATTTCGTCCACCACAAATCCCACTTGATCAGACCCGGGATCGAACCCGGGCCGCCGCCGTGAGAAGCCAGCGACTACCCGCTTGAGCTATGGCGCGGCCACTTCTTGACCTTAGCATTACGTTGGAGTGATGTGCTTCGTGCTCCGCTAGAAAGAGTACACAGTAGCACTGGATAGGCAGAAGAGGCCCCCGTGGGATCAGAAGCCCCACCCCCGCATCATATGCGACCCCATGTTCGTGTGTATAATATTGACTTTGAGATAGCTCTCACCGTTATGACACTTTGCTGAGAAATTGCCTCGCGTATCCTGCGCGTATAATCAACCATGTCCTTCACTTTGATGTCCTGCAGGTCCTGAAACTCGAAGTTATCAGGTCTGGCCGGGAACTCTCCCCCCACCCGGTACGTTGTCTGTGGGTAGAAGCCATCCTCGATCTTGTCCTCCCAGTAAAGTGGCTTCACGAAGGGCAGATCGTTGGACAGGCGCTCCAAGTCGAGTCTGGCGATCAGCTGGTGATGCATGTAGTAGAACAGCTCCCCCTGCCGGTCCTTCTTCACGCCATACTCATCCTGCTTCCACCAGAAGGGGAAGTCCATGTGCCAGTGACTATGATGCGAGTTTATGCCCACGTCCTCTCCCAGGTAGGCCACCCTCTGCTCAGGATTCCTGACCGTTCCTGCAACAAGTACCGCAAGAAGTTCTTCTGTTATGACGTCAATACACGTGATGACCTCTGGGTTAGGAAGGGAGTGGCAGTGTCATGTCATGCGCTCCAAGGACTGGACTGAATTCTTAGTCTTTTTAGTTTTTTTAGTTTCTTTTGGTGGGGTGAGACTAAGTCCACTTGGTACGTCGGCAACTAACTGGCCTATTGTAGCAGCCCTGGATGACAGAAAATGAGTGCGGAGCAGATGATGAAATGAGAATTGGCAGTGGACATAGAAGTACTAGGAGTAAACCTGCCCCAGTACTACTTCGTCCACCACAAATCCCACACGACGTCACCTTTACTCAATCTCGGGCCGCCGCGGTGGAAAGCCGGCGACTAACCGCTTGAGCTATGGCACGGTCCTAACTGAATTCGTTAGGATGATTTGTGAGACACTAACTCCGTGGAGGATAGTGCTTGAGAAGCTGACATTCTCTCACTTAAACAAGTTATTTTCCTCCTTTTATGGATCCCAAGTGTTCATTACCGTGTTCACAAGAGACTTCCTACTTGTCCCTGGTCTGAGCCATAACTGAGGATCTGTTTAACGTTTCGTAACATGTTTATCTATTTTACATGGAGGGTTTTGCAACACTCGCTTAACATACACGCTGCAGACCACCCCTTGTCAGCTCTCTTCGACTGCATATTCAATATATTGACACCCCCACCCCCCCACCCATCGATATCACCAGGCTGTCTCCTGCGCCATGCCATGGTGATGAGGATCCACATGTCAGGGAAAATGATTTAGGGGTTCGAATTCTAAACCAGATTTTCTCAAACTGCAATTCACAGGTACCCCAATGATCGCTGAAACTCTTCCCAGAAAACGTTACTACAGTAACGGGCGGTTGTGGATTGAATTCATCTGGCTTAGGATATAGAAAATTGGCAAACTGTTGTGAACACGGTAATGAACCTTAAGTTTCCATAAAACATTCTGAATATCTTGAGTGTCTGAGCGACTATGGGGTTTCTCTAGAAAGATTCAGCTCCATTGAGTTAAATGGTTAGTTTTTCTATGGCCTAACAGCAACTGTCCACCGGCAGCAATCGAGACGCATGCGCCCCACGCTGTGCAGCCCTTCTGGCACCCTCCGGTTTCCCATATGTATTGAAGCCTTCCGCCTCTTTAAGAGAAGGTGAGGAGTGTCTATAAGTATGAGGGGTGAGCCATAGAAACCGGCCCTCGCACTGCGACCTTCAATGATCTATGGTGCTTCCATTTTGGATTAGCCGTTTATTAATCCTACACTTCAAATGAAATGTAGGACTTTATTTATGGGGGCGTCATAAAAGTCAATTGGTTCCATAAAAAACTAACCCAAGTGATGAAATCTTAAATAAGCTATGTCCTCACAATTACACAGGATATGTGAGGCTGATTCGTCTTCTTGTAGGCACCTTTCGCAGGTTGGGTCATCTGTCAGTCTCAATTTGAAAAGGTGTCCTTTTAGGTGACAGTGTCCAGTAATTAATCCTACCACCCATCTTAATTGATCTAGGTGAAGAGTTTACTAAACATCCTGTGTTATTTGTATTGGCATTACTGAAGCCTCAGACAAAAGTCCGAGGCCCACTGTTCTGAAAGGTAATGTTTTCCCATGCTTAACTAAACTCCGTTCCGTGAAGTCATAGGGGTTGCTGGAGATATAGCTCCACGCATTCCTAACACTAAATTCAATTCAGTGGTCGGTGTCATTCCTCCCTCACTTTGCTCACATTTCCCCAGGAAAGAGACCTCCGGTACCCCCAGGGTAGGAGAAGAAGGTGGTCTCTCGAATCAACCTAGATGCTGTGAATAACAGACAATTATTTCTTAAGCCGAGAATCGAACCCCAGCTCTCCAGTAGTCCAGCCTGTGTCATTGTCACTATGCCCACTGAGCTATCTAAACTGTTGTCATTAATGTTTGTTAGAATTAATTTTTTTAAAGTGCCGTATCACATTTTAAGTCATTTGTATAGATCACGGCATCTCCATTTTATTCACATCAAGACGACTCCAAACTAAGTGTTTGAATTCCTGACACTCAGGGAAATTCACAGAAGGGTGACATCTTCAGGGGTATGGATCGTCATCTATTCTGATAGAAATCTGCCGACTTTATGGTGGAACGCACTGCCTCCATCTTGCCTACTCGAATTTACTCTTTGATCATGAATTCACTTAGAGGGGGGTGGAGTCCAACTGGGTCCACTCGGCACGGCGGCCACTGATTGGTCTATTGTAGCCTGCCCCGGATGATTATGATGATGGAGAAGTTAGTGAAATGAAGATTGGCAGGGGAAACCAAAGTACTCGGAGAGAACCCGCCCCAGCGCCAATTTGTCCACCACAAATCCCACTTGACCAGACCCGGGATCGAACCCGGGCCGCCGCGGTGGGAAATCAGCTACTAACCGCTTGAGTTATGGCGCGGCCTTGATCATGAAGATGGAGGTAATACATTCCTTCGAAACATCGGTAAAGTCTACCAGCGTGAGAACCACAAACCTGACACTGCAGTTCCATTTTACCTGTGAAGTTCATGCGCACTCTGGCCGGCTCCTGCCTCATCTTGGCTCTGTAAGCTGCGTGAATGACGTCGGAGTTGACGAAGAGGTGTGGGTAGACCTCGTACGCCGGCGGCAGTACCATTCCACGCGTGTCCTCCCTGTGAAGTACAGCGACACTCAGGGCGTAAACGAACTGCCCCTCGTTGACCCTGTCGCGAACGTAGCACGCCGTGCGGTAGAAGGTGTCCCAGTCTTCCGCGTAGAACAAGGACTCGAATATGGTGATCATCTGCTCGCGTTGTCTGTCGTTAAACAGAGTGAAGATCTGTCCTCGCGGCAGCAGACGCCCTGACGTGTACTGCTTCACGAGGGTCTTCACTGGCAACGCGTTCTGCAATGTTACAACCAGCCGTAGCTCCTTAGTAAAATCGATCTCTGCTTCTTGATGGGAAGGTTCTGGGCTTGTATATCGGCCGGAACATCGGGTATGATGGCTAAGGGAAAACCTCAGTCGGGCCAAGATTTAAGCTCAGGACTTCCATGCATGAAGCAGGGATGTTAACTGCTTCTGGGAAGGTTCTGGGCTTGTATATCGGCCGGAACATCGGGTATGATGGCTAAGGGAAAACCTCAGTCGGGCCAAGATTTAAGCTCAGGACTTCCATGCATGAAGCAGGGATGTTAACTGCTTCTGGGAAGGTTCTGGGCTTGTATATCGGCCGGAACATCGGGTATGATGGCTAAGGGAAAACCTCAGTCGGGCCAAGATTTAAGCTCAGGACTTCCATGCATGAAGCAGGGATGTTAACTGCTTCACCCCGAAGTTTCATTTCTGATTTTCTTTCTTTTTGTTTCGTTTGTTCAATTGTTACTTGTTGACCTCTTCAGTGTTCTAGTGGTCATGGTTCCTGGCTACAGATCCAGAGGTCCGGGTTCGATTCCCGGCGCTACCAAATTTTCTGAGAAGTAGTGGGTCTGGAACGGAGTACACTCAGTCTCGTGAGGATAATTGAGGATGTATTTCAAGGAAATAACGGTTCCGGCCTAGAAAACCGAAATTAACGGCCGTGGGGATTCGTTACGTTGACCATGCGACACCCTCTATCCGCAAAAGTTGGCACTAACTTCGCCGACAGGTGGCGGTCACTCGCTCGGTGGGTATAGTTCGCTTGCGGACTGAAACCACGGAGTTTATTTGTTTGTTAATTGTTGCATTTTGTTCCTATATTTTATTTTATTTTTGTTCCTGTTCTTTTTGGTTTTAGCTGGAAATGATTTTTAATTTTCTGTTTATTTTATTTTTTACGAGCCTGTAGTTTTGTGTGCGTGTCAAACTTGGTCTGTGACATTAAGGGACGAATGTGGACCGAAAGACTTGTAGAACGAGTCACAGAGGAGAACATCTGCACCTTAGAAGGATGGTCCAATAGGAGGGTGAAGATTGTAGCATGATGAAGGCCTTCATAATTTGCATTTGTCACCAAATATTGTGAAAATGATCAAGTTAAGGCAGATGAGATGGGTAGGTCATGTAACATGCACGGGAGAAGCTTGAGTACAACGTTCTAGTGAGAAATCCAGAGGAATGAGACCACTAGGGAAAGTTATACGTGAATGGCAGGACAATATTAAAATGCATCTCAAGGAAATAGGAAGGGAGGTTGTATACTGGAATTATGTGTCTCAGAATAGGGACTATTGGGGATTTCTTGTGAACACGGTAATGAGCTGTCGGGTTCCATAGAATGCCGGGAATTACTTGAGCGGCTGAGCTCAAGAAGGACTCAGCTCCATTGAGTTATTTAGTTGTAAACGTGATCTACTTATGTTCCATGTACAACAGCATTGAACTTATCTTTTTATATAGAACCCGTCAACAAAGCTGCTTCATTTTAGATTACCTATATTAATGGAATTGGTGGCACTGCTAAATGTTTCTGCCGATAATTTTCGTTGTAGGCTTCGGAGAATGTGTCGTCACTAGTTGTCATTTCCTGAATTGTTGTTTGACAAGATGGCGAACACGATAAGACATCTGCTTTAATCGAAATCACTGCATACATTGCAAGCAGAGCTGTCGCCAAGTTTCAGCATTGACTAAAGGTGGTCTTGGATGGTGATGGTTTGCATGTTTACCATTATTTTCCCAAGGCCACTGTGCTAATTGATACCATTATCATTCCTGTACATTGCATATACGTATGTAGATGTATTTAGTTTAAACCGAAACGTCTTTCTTGACTGACCCTATGCTTTTCATTGATCCGCAATTGACGAAGTAGTTACATGGGCCACGTGTTCTCCGACCCTATTACACTGAGGGCCTGTTAAAGTGTGTTCATGTACCTTGTACTTGCTGAAACATGTTCACATACCCTGTACTTGCTGAAGTGTATTCGTGTACCATCTACTTGCTGGAATGTATTCACGTACCCTCTACTTGCTGGAATGTGTTCACATACCCTGTACTTGCTGAAGTGTGTTCACGTACCCTCTACTTGCTGGAATGTATTCACGGACCCTGTACTTGCTGGAATGTGTTCACATACCCTGTACTTGCTGAAGTGTATTCATGTGCCATCTACTTGATGGAATTTATTCACGTACCCTCTACTTGCTGGATTGTGTTCACATACCCTGTACTTGCTGAAGTGTGTTCACGTACCCTCTACTTGCTGGAATGTGTTCACATACCCTGTACTTGCTGAAGTGTATTCAAGTACCATCTACTTGCTGGAATGTATTCACGTACCCTGTACTTGCTGGAATGTGTTCACATACTCTGTACTTCCTGAAGTGTGTTCATGTACCCTGTACTTGCTGAAGTGTGTTCACCTACCCTGTACTTGATGGACTATGTTCAAGTACCCTGTACTTGCTGAAGTGTGTTCACATACCCTGTACTTGCTGGAATGTGTTCAGTACTTGCTGAAGTGTGTTCACCTATCCTGTACTTGATGGACTATGTTCACGTACCCTGTACTTGCTGAAGTGTGTTCACATACCCTATACTGGCTGAAGCGTGTTCACGTACCCTGTACTTGATGGACTATGTTGACGTACCCTGTACTTGCTGAAGTGTGTTCACGTACCTTATATTTGCTTAAGTGCTGAGTAGGATCGTAGCTGCGTCCCAGGTCCGCTTGATCTTTGAAGCGGTTGGGCTCGTGAACTTTATTGAGCAGCTTCAGCACCTCCCGCTGCTTCGACAGGAAGATCTTGTCAGCTGGAAAGAGATGCCGAGATCACTGAGAGACCCCAAAACTATTTTGTCCACCATCGATTCCACGTGACCTGACCTGGGATCGCACCCGAGACGTCGCTGTGGAAATCCGGCTCGGTACACTGTTAATCATGTTGTTAATGTTATCACCATCGTCATCAGTGTTTGTGCTGGCTCTGTATTTGGCCTCTGGGCTGTTGAGTTCAACTGTTAAATGAGTGAGCAACTGAATTGCTTTATACGAGTAGTTTAAGGACGCTGTCACCATTTCGATGGTAGCACGAATGGTTGATACTTAATTGGAAGGGATTTGGAAGGAATCGGCCTTGGTATAATCAAGGTACTATCCCAGCTTTTATCTTGAGGGACTGGCAAAAACCACGAAAATCGCCATTTAGGACAGCCATTGTGCCGGCTGAGATTCGAACTGCTCACTTTCCTATCACAAATCTATAGAATTGTCGCTACACCAACCTGCTCGATTTATTATTATTATTATTATTATTATTATTATTATTATTATTTTGAAGGAGCCGGGATAGGGTAGTCGATATATCGACTGGCTATGGGCTGGACGACAGAGGGTTCGGAGTTCGAGTCCTGGTACGGAAAAGAATTTTCAATTCTCCAATCGTCCAGACCGGCTCTGGGGTTCACTCATTCTCCTATACAATGTGTACGGGGGGTAAAGCCACCGAGGCGTGAAGCTGACCACTCACCTCCAACTAGTGCCTAGGTCGAGAAAATGTGGCTCTATACAGCCACTCCCCCATACGTCTTCATTGCATGGTGCTTAATTAACTAATCACAGGGACAACTTTACATTTATTATTATTATTTGGGTTATGTTACAACTGCCAGTAACTGCGGTATAGAGAATTGGAAACGATTTTGGAAGAAGTGATCATGGCCGAGTCGAGGTACAATCCGAACAGTTGTATGGAGAGCCTGAACAATACCGCGGAAGGTGTCAGTCAGAGTACAGTATTAACATTAAAAATAATTTTATGTCTGGGGACTTACCTGGTGCTTCGCCCCGCATGACCTTGGCCTGAGCCAGGTGGCACACGGCCACCCCTAGGAGCGCCACAGTCAGGATGCACTTCATGATGTCCGCCCCACCACAGCAGAGTATGCACCACCCATCACAATCATGCATTTATAGCGCTGTAGTTCAGTTCACGACGTGATAGTGTCGCGCTGAGCGAGGCCCCCCACCGCCATCTTACCCCCACCCGGCATAATGGAGCGGTGTGCAGACTTCTGAACGCCTCTGGAAACTGATTGGTTCGGAGTTGCACACGGGATAGCGACGTCAGATTCACACCGACGCGCACAAGCTCAGTTCACATAAGCACGTTCATAAAGAATCTCACAAAACTTCTTGGTATAGAGGTTACCACTTTTCTAAACTCCGTCATTTTAGTCCGCAAGCGAAATATACCGACCGAGCGACCGCCGCTTGTCGGCTAAGTTAGTGCCAACTTTAGCGGATAGGGTTGAAATGCTTCAGCAGTGCTTGCATATTAGCTGATCAGCACGGAGAATGGCCATATAATTCCCAGCCCGCCATTCTTAACTATTGTCTACTATCTCACAGGATGAGTTCTCTAGACAGTGGCCCCACCAAACAAACTGACGCTTTTTGTTTTGGTCCGAATTGATAGGAGTAGCGTCCGACTCTTCGACATGAATTTCCGCTCGCATAAAACTTAGTTTGTAGAAGAGTTATGTCTTCTGCGATATAACACTGTGTAGTCCGTTAAAAATCTATGGACGTTTCGGAGGAACATGTCGCATCCTTCAGGATAGAAGAATACGCCGGACAAGAAACAAGCGTGAAATAAGGTGGCAAGCAGAGGCCACCGCTGTAAGAACCTCGAATCCTACGATTTAATTTAATCTAAGCATGTATGGTTGAGACAGGGGCACGCGGTAGCGTAGTTGGTTGAGGGGCTATGCTACAAGCCGGAAGGTCGCGGGTTAAAGTCCCGATGAGGTCTTTGGATTTTTTTCAATTGACCTAATCCTTCCAGCCGCACTATGGCCCTGGGGTCGACTCTAATAATAATTTCTAATAGAAATGAGTACCAGGAATTAATTAAATAACTTTCCTGGGGAGTAAAGCGCGGCCGGCGCGTAAGGTTGACAGCCTTACCGACATCTATGAGCCAATTGTCGAGATAATGTGGGACCCTCAACGTCTCACAACCCTTTGGGCCTTCACGGCGTCTTACAGGGATAGTTTTACGTTTTTTTTACTTTTTTATGCATGATAAGCTGTCGTTAAATAAGCTATTGAATAACCATATTAGACATGAACACAAGGCTAGAAAGAAAGTTCCAAATTCGATGTAAAATTAATTGTATTTGTGAACTGAGTCTTTGAAGGTATGCGTTGTTTCAAGGCAATGGTTTGTTGCCTTGAGTGATCGATCGTATCTGCAAGATCAAGACGGCCGTGGCCTTCGACCTTGACATTCGTACCGATAAGCAGCATGCATATTTTTCTGTACGCTTGGCCTCTTTTTCAGAAATCGCGTGCGAATGAACGGGTGACGTGTCACCGTTGAGTCACGCAACATGCAGCCCCTCTGTCTCGTACGAAGTTAGTTTCTCGAGCGCCATTTGCTCATTGCAGTTACGGAAACCTCTTCAGTACAATTCCACGGCGAAGCGTAATATTGTTGAAACCCACAAATTGTTGTCTTTAACAATTCAGATCTGGTGTAACACTTCTGTTTGACAGACACAGAATACATTCAGACTCTTAGGTCTATGAAGTTACTGGAGGTTCATAATTTGTACTCTTCTCCAAGTATACTTAGAATGATCAAGTCAAGGAGGATGAGGTGGGCAGGGCATGTAACACGAGTTGGGAAGAAGAGGAATGCAAATATGATATTGTAGAAAAGCCAGAAGGAAAGAGACCACTGGGAAGACCAAGACGTAGGTGGTTGGATAATATTAAAATGGATCTTAGAGAGATAGGATGGGATGGGATGGTGTGGATTGGATTAATTTGGCTCAGGATAGAGACCAGTGGAGGGCTCTTGTGGCAACGGTAATAGACCTTCGGGTTCCATAAAATGTTGGGAAGTTCTTGAGTTGCTGTAAAACTGGCGGCTTCCCAAGAAGGGCTCATCTCCACAGAGTTAGGAGGGGCTAGTGCTGATAACCGAGATACCCTCTGTGTAGCATGGAAACGATCCAATCAGATCCAGCCGATACTCAAGGGAAGGCAAATCTTTGAAGAAGGGTCTGTGTTTTATTGTGTGCTTTTGCTGAATCAACTGATGAGGTTATATTGTACATAATATTGTCATGAGACCGGAGGGTGGGGGCTCGTACCGAAGAAACGTGTCTCTTCTACTTCTGATCACCGTCACGTAGTCACTTGTTGACGGCAGGCTGTCGGGTCCCCAGTTCAAACCGTCGTGCCATAGCTCTGTTTTTTCCCCCTGTTTATCTGTGGCTCTGAAATAAAGGCCAAAGGACACTCATGCCTCTGCCAGAACAAGGTCCGGGCTTCTCTCCATGGCAACACGGTCGTTTCTTTTTAATTTTGTTCACCAAAATTTCCACGAATGTGTATGGCTCAGCTGGGCGCGTTGTAGGTGAATGAGTGAGGGCCCCCTTGCAGACCCTGCATGCAGGACTGGATGGGTCCCAGAACAGGTCTGAATGTCATGACCAGAGAGTCATTTATGCCATTGTAGTGTACTGAGCGAGCAGGTTAGCATAGCAGTAGCGCTCTTGCATTGCACTGTGGAGAAGCCCGTTTTCCAGTCTCAGCCTGCACATACTCATTGAAATGTTTCGCGGTATTCTTATTTTCCTTCAGAATAGTGCCATGGTAGTACCACGATTAGGGAACAAACGTCTCCTTCAAAATATGATCTAAAATTTGTGACCATGTTACATTTTTTTAATTTTCTTAAATTCACTTAGTGGTGGGGTGGAGTCCAACTGGGTCCACTCGGCACGGCGGCCACTGATTGGCCTATTGTAGCCTGCTCCGGGTGATTATGATGAAGAATTTTTGGAATGAAGATTGGCAGGGCAAACCGAAGTACTCGGAGAAAACCCGCCCAGCGCCGCTTTGTCGACCACAAATCCCACTTGATGAAACCCGGGGTCGAACCCGGGCCTCCGCGGTGGGAAGCCACCGACTAACCGCTTGAGCTATGGCGCGGCCTACAATGGTACATTAGTGCCCATGTTATGTTTTTGGACATTAGCCACCGTCTTGTATATTTTTCAAAACGCGACGTTTCGGAGACTGGTTTCTGTCTCCATCTAGGGATTAGCTCTGTCGATTGGGCCCAACTGAGTAGGTTATACCTGAAGAAGACAGAATCCAGTCTCCGAAACGTCGCGTTTTGAAAAATAAACAGCGGTGTTTTTAGATAAAGACAAGACGATGGATAATGTCCAAAAACGTAATATTTTTACGTCTCCTTCCAAATATTTTCGAATTCATCAATCAATCTTGCAATTCTAGCTACCGGCTCCGTCGCAAGATATCCCAGAAAAAAAAATGTGTTGTTCTACGTGAAATCAATCAGCACCCATCCAGGGCGTAAGAGTTTTAGTGACAGCTTTTACAACCCAGTTACCAGGAACTTTCGAGAATTACGTAACGATATAACCTAGTTGAGCAGAGTCATTCTTGGGAAAGTGAGTCTGGCAGCTGGTAAAGGAAATATTACCAAAACCCCAAGGTTCAGTCCGGTGTTCATCAATTTCAATCCAGTCTATACTTTCACGCCTATTTTATTCGACATCAATTTTAATATTATCCTTACATCTTTACGTGAAAGAATAATGGAAATATATTCTATTAAAAGGTAAAAGGTAAAGCTATCCTTGTAACAGGCCACGGATGTCCATAGGTTTATGAGACGTCGAGGTTCCCACATTTCTAGACAGTTGGCTCACAGATTGCGGTAAGGTTGTCAGCCTTATGCTCCGGCCGCCCTTTACCTCCAGGAAGATTTCTGGTATTCATTTCTATTAAAGGCTGAGTCGACCCCAGGGCCATATTGCGGCTGGAAGGATTAGGTTAGTTGAAAAAATCCAATGACTTCATCGGGACTCGTACCCACGACCTTCCTGCTTGTAGCATAGTGCCTCAACCAACTACGCTACCGCGTGCCACAATTCACTATTTCCCAATTAAATTTCTTGTTTTCAGAAATTATTTTTTTTTACGCCAGTGACTATGTGAAGTGTGATATTTGTATGTGACACTGTGTGTCACATTCAATGACGTTTCGGAGGGATGTACAGCCTCCGTCTTCAGATTCAAGAGTAAACCAAGCAAGCAAGAATCTGATTGATCTGGATGCTTATGTCCTGTCATATGTGTGCTAACTGACGTCTTGAAAATAATTAATGCGGTCACATATACATTTCGGGGGGCACGCGGTAGCGTAGTTAGTTGAGACACTATGCTACAAGTCGGAAGGTCGCGCTACATACCCTTCCCACCTCATCCTCATTGACTTGATCATTCTAATTATACTTGGGGAAGAGTACAAGTTATGAAGCTCCTCATTATGCAGTTTTCTCCAACCTCCTGTCACTTGATCTCTCTTCGGTCCAAATATTCTCCTCAACACCCTGTTCTCAAACACCCTCAGTCTGTGTTCCTCGCTTAATATCAGATACAAAGTTTCACACGCATACAGAACCATAGGTAAATTATAGTTTTGTATATTCTAATTTTTATGTTTTAGACAGCAGACGAGAAGACGAAAGGTTCTGGACTGAATGGTAGCAAGCATTACCCGAGTTCAATCTCCTCTTAATTTTCTCCTGCATCAGGTTTTGATTTGTTATCGTCGTTCCCAAATATCTGAACTGTGCCACATTTTCAAAACATCTGTTTCCTCTCTTCATGTCATGATTTTGCCCTGCATTTTGTGACGAGGGTATGGAGAGAAGCTTCGAATATATTGAGTAAGGAGTCGCTGACAGGCCGACACGGGGTGGTCCTCCAGCTTGGGGGTTGAGCGTGTGGCTAACAACTCCTCATTTTAAGATAATCTTTGGCCGCGCCATAGCTCAAGAGGTTATTCGCTGGTTTCCCACCGCGGCGGCCCTGGTTCGATCCCGGGTCTGGTAAAGTGGGTTTTGTGGTGGAGAAAATGGCGCTCGGGCAGGTTTTCTCCGAGTACTTCGGTTTCCCCTGCCATTCTTCACTCCACCAATTGCTCCACAATCACCCTCACCTATCATCTGGGGCTGGTACAGTAGGCCAGAAGTGGCCGCAGTACAAGGGACTTAGTCCCACCCCACTAGCAATAAAAATAATCTTGTTGCGACTACGGCCGGTAGGACGCAAGATGAAAACTTTTGCATGTCTGTGGCTTCAGCTGCGGTCACGATCCTTAATTACAATATAAATTCTCGTAAAAAAACTGTCCCTGTGCTAACTAATCACGCACTACGCCATGAAGACGTATGGGAGGTTGGATGTATAGATCAACGTATTTTTGATCTCTGCATTATTTGGATGTGAGTAGTCAGCTTCACGCCCCTGCTGCTTTCCCCCCTGTGAAATAACCCCCGTCCCCAATTGGATAGGAGGCTGGATGGGCCCCAGAGCCGGTCTGGACGACGCGGAGAAGAGAAGATTCTTGACCCTACTGGGACTCAAACTCCAACCCTTCGGTCATCCGACCCGTAGCCAGTCACTATGTCGACTGAGCTACCAAGCTTTTCATGTTCTCAATTCAGAACCTCACCACGAAGGGGTAAGAGGGGATGTGGAAGTATAAACTCGACATACAGCATTCACATAAATGGTCAGCGCCACGCTCCGTCCATTTTATCCGCTCAAATAAGTAAATAGATAAGTAAAATACTAAATCCTAGTATCACGCCCGGTTTTGATCGCGACAGAAAAACAGAGCCTTCATATTTTCCAGCCTATATTTGAGATTAAAGGTTGTTGATCGTGTATCCACATTAAGATGTTATGTGTAAACATTTTGTTGTGTTACAGGCATGCCTAATTGCTTGTATTGCCTCATCCGAGATAACCGAACCGTTTGTTGTTATGTCTGACGAACCCTGTACCCATCAGCAGTTCGTGTCAATAGGGCACCGCGTGGCGGGAGGACAACATACGTCACTAGTACGTCACTAACCGCTGCACACGGTGTCTGCTTCTCCTTACGCAGGGGGATGAATCTTCCCCTTTCTCCATCTACNCCCCCCCCCCCCATGGTTATAAACAGGTGCCGACAAGTTAGCAACTCGCTTGTTTGTCTCAGCCGCCGACGTCGGAATGAGGCCAGCTACTGTTCTGCTTATCGTCCTGGGCGCTTGCGCACTTGCGTCTGCCGAACAAAAAGGTGAGTTTGAAAATGTTGAATTGCACAGAAGAAATCACAATAAACTTTTCCTTGTTACCTGATACAGTAAGCCCTAGCTAGTACGGTTAAGTTAGTCCGGATCGAAATATAAAAAATGAAAAGAAAAAATGCTGTACACAGTTGAGTACAGACTTTAATAGACGCGTGGCATTTAGGAAGGCAGATGAGTCACTTGTCTGTTCAGATAAAACTTTTTTTTTATTATTATTATTTATTAACAATCAGAATTACGTACATTCTATAGGTTAATGGTTTCGCTAAGGACTATTACATGTCATGCGAGGAAAATGTCCATCGACATTACCTCTTCAGAAGTTGATTTGTTTTATATCAGGTCATTTGGCCATTTCCTTTTTAGTCTTCTATTGTTGATTGGCTCCCTGAGTGGTTGCAATAGTTCGTTCTCGTGGGTTTCAATTTTGCTCATGTGTTGGCGGCTTCTGTCCAGGATGATTTCTTTCACGAATTTTAAGTTCAAGTCTTGATGTAGGGTTTCGTTTGACACATACCAAGGTGCGTCGACTAACATCCTTAGGATTTTTGATTGTGATCTTTGGATAATATTGATTTTGGACTTACTGGCACATCCACAGAGTTCGATGCCGTAAGTCCAAATTGGTATAATTACTGGGATAAAACTTGACAGTTTCTTCAAACTTGCATTATTACGTTAAGAAAACAAGTGAAATTTCTAAGGTGCTATTTTTTATTTATATTCTTCAGCAATACATATATAATTAAATTTTCCATCTGTTTGTGTTTTAAATACTGCTTTGACATTTAGTGGTCAGAGTTCCTGGCTACAAATCCAGGGTTCCCGGGTTCGATTTCCATCGCTACCATATTTTCTGAGAAGTAGTGGGTCTGAAACGGGGTCCACTAGCCTCATGACGATAATTGAGGAGCTATTTGAAGGAAATAGCGGCTCCGGTGTAGAAAACCGAGATTAACGGCCTTGGGGATCCGTTGCGCTGACACGTGACACTCTCTTTCCCTAAAAGTTGGCACTAACTTCGCCGATAAGCGGCTGTCGCTCAGTCGGTATAGTTCGCTTGCGGACTACAGACCACGGAGTTTTTTTGTGTATTTTAAGTTGTGTCTTAGGTCTACATTTTACCTCACTAATCCGAATGACCTGTCTCCAATTACTCCGGATTATCGAGGGTGTGCTGTAGTTCCTGTATATATTTGTTTAGTGACGCGTTTCCGCCGTTGGAATTTATCCCAGTAACTCATTGGGTTCCTGCTCTAAGGACGTTTACCGAGCTGTGAAATGCACAAGACTTGAGGGTTTTCACTGCGATGAAAATTTGTATGGTAACCTTTTGGTCCGTGCGTATCATAGTAAGGTCGAATAGACTGTCGTAGCCGTAACGCTGTAGATTGCGCATTCGGGTGGTACTTTGTTCGAATCTCGGCCACAACACCTTCTATCCTGACTGAGGTTTTTGTGGTTCTTTCAGTCCTCCCAAGGAAATAACAGTAGCTCGCTTAAGCCACACCCACTTCCGTCTAAGTCCCTTTTAATCCATCCTACCATCAAACGTTGTGCAATCATCATACTGAGGTAGTCATTACGTGACTTAGGCGAATAATCCCATGAACCTGTAACGGGCACTTGTAGTGTTTTGTAAGTTTGTATTTCCTCTGCACGCAGGGTAATTTGAATTGCCAATATAATATTTCTGCCACTCGTGATATACTGTTTTGGCATTTTTTAAAAATTCGCTTATTGGGGAGTGGAGTCCAGCTGGGTCCACTCGGCACGGAGGTCACTGATTGGTCTATTGTAGCAGGCCCCGGATGATTATGATGATAGAGTATTTGGTGGAATGAAGATTGACAGGGGAAACGGAAGTACTCGGGGAAAACCCGCCACAGCGCCACTTCATCCACCACAAATCCCACTTGACCAGACCCGGTGTCGAACCCGGGCCGCTGCGGTGGGAAGCCAGTGACTAACCGCTTGAGCTATGGCGCGGTTTACTGTTTCGGCCTTCCTGACCAATGTCTTTAGTAGGAAGATTTACAAATTTGTGAAGCCTCGAACCCTGTTACGTGTGGCGGATGTTAAGTGGTGGAACAGAGATGTAGAGAGTGTATCTTGCTAACGGAAAAGGCAGCCGAACTGGAAGTCCTTTGTCATTACTGACATTGAGTCCTATGTTTGTCATCCTGAAGTCAGTCAAATTAGACCATTGGAGCAAAGCCCTCCCACTCTTTCCCGTGTGTGGAAAATACTCTTCAACTCTGTGAAGCAAGAAATTCATCTGTATTGAAACTGCATATTGCTTTATACAACCGTTGGACACCTTGCCGTCAGCAAACGTCACTTCCGCTGGCTCCAGTTGCTGGTAGGGATTGTAGAATTCTTTCTTTTCGCTACTTCGTTGATCATCCTGTCCTCCGAGGTCGGAAAACGTAGACCAAACTGTGACTCGCATACCGCATGCGGCTCGTTAGATTTATGAGTGCTCCCAATGTAGGCCAGTTATTTCTTTATGAATGGATTAAATATAAAACCTGCTGCGTGGAGAGACTGTACCTAAATATCTGTGCTCTCCACTACACGTCTGTTGGGGCTCTTAAATTTCGGAAAACTATACAGGATTTCGATATTCAGAAAGTTTGGCCACCCCTGATATAGATTATAATTTCCCGCCGTATATCTCTCTCGATTAGCATTAAATGCCCAAAATTTTCAACTTATATCTTTTTCATTCCTGTTTTTTTACTAAATTAACACCTTTTGAAAATTCAGTAGAAAGTATCTTTGTTATGTAAAAATTCGTGCTTTTTCCTCTTCCGTCCTTTACTCCTTCCCAACCGCTTTTATTCACAGTTCTGTCATCATTCCTCTCCCCTTTCCTTTCAACGCCTCCTTTTCTTTGTAATAGGTTAGGTGAACTACGTTCGAAATACGCCATAATAAATTGCTCACTTCGTTTCGTCGCATTTTTATATGTACCGAAATTGAGTGGGGGGCCACGCGATAGCGTAGTTGGTTGAGGCACTATACTACAACCCGGAAGGTCGCGGGATCGAATCCCGATTAGCTTTTTTTTTTCAATTGACCTAATCTTTCCAGCCGTACTATGGCCCTGTGGTCGACTCAGCCTCTGACAGAAACGAGTACCAGGAATATTCTTGGTGGTAAAGGGCGGCCGGTGCGTAAGGCTGACAAGCTCACCACCATTTGTGAGCCGATTATCTAGAAAATGTTGGAGCCTCAACATCTCACAATCCTATGGGCCTCCACGGCCTGTTACAGGGATACCTTTACTTTTACTTGTTTTACGTTACCGAAATTTAGTAAACGCTATGTTGGATAGATCACTTTTGCATTCCATTTCTGAGGAAACCGCGAAAACGACAAAGCAAAAAAACAAAACAAAAGCTTTCCTGCTTAGACCATTTATATAACGATTGTTTCTTCCCTTTCATAGAATTTCACCACTTCGTATCCTACCTTTTATTGATATTTTTCGACTTGTCGAAAGTAATATATTTCCAATACGAGTTATTTATTTCTCAGCCCTCCTTTAGAATCCAGCTATTGAGACGGGTCCGAGTTACTTTACGACTGAGCGGCCTCCGTAGTCTAAAGGTAACGTTCCCACCTCATGACTCAAGGTACGCGGGTTCAAACACGGCGGAGGGTTTGAGCAAGTCCTCCGGGAGGGACTTTAAGCCGTGGGTCCCGTGTCGTAGCTTTACGGCATGTAAAAGAACCTCATGTCTCCAAAGGAGGCCACTGAGCTAAATTAAGGACATTTGCCGCCCAACAGTAGTCTCTAACGCCTCTGGTAGATGGGGGAAGCATTGAGATACCTCTGAGCCAGTAGAGGTCGACCTCGCTGGCTGAGTAGGTACTGATGGTAAACACCAATACCGGTAGGGTATAGAGGCTGGTAGAAGATTATAGGGGGACGCACAATAGATCAAACTGGTCGCGGTGCATGGGGAAACCCACGCCCTCCAATAATAATAAATAATAATACTTTATGACTGGCGGTTTACCGCTAGTCAGTTCTTCTTGGCGCTAAGCCCTTTTAAGCTCACGACCATACTGAACCCTGGCGGTCAAAATCCTTATGTAACATCCTCTCTGACGAGAAGATGGGTTTGTCTCTATGAATAGCTTTCGTCTTTATCGAGTGTACTTATCACATATATAGTATAATATTGAGAATTCTTCTTTTTGCACATATAAACTCCTCTGTCAGTACAGGCTTTGCTAAGCAGATCGTGTCCTTCTTACTTAGGCTACAGTGCCAGCTTAGTCACTTGAACCGTCGTTAGCTTGACCCCCGCAAAGTTATATTTTCTATATCTGGCTTCACCTTGTCCTATACCACGAGCATGTTCATTTTCATGATTCTGTATGACTTCTGCTTGTTTCCTGCACAATTCTGTTATATAATCGCATGCATAAGGAAGGTGGAAGGCCCTCTGCAAATCGCGTACCGGTGTGCAACTCGGAAAATTTCCAGTGTGGGGGAGAACCTTGCTTTGTATGCGCTGCAATTTTAAGAGGTGGGTGTCTGCTGCAAGTTCCTAGGCGGGACAAGCATAAGTCAGTACTGATTTAATCAGTGCCTCATGGAGGGTTAGATTAATGTTGGCACTTAAGCGCTCACTCTTGAATAGGCAGTAGATTCTAATGAATGTTCTGAAGACCTTGGCTTCAACCATTTCTATGTGCAGGCTCCATGTAATCCTCTTACCGAAGATTACACCGGGATGTTTTGCATCATTGACGAAGGGATCATCCGTTCATTCAATGTAAGATGAGCTTTAGGGCACCTAATTCTGTGAGAAAAGCAGATGGCCCGAATATTATCTTCATTAATTTTTATGTCCCAGCGCTCACACCATGTTTCAATAGTACTGAGACCTCGCTGCAGCTACCTGGGATTGTAACCCTATTTGCGGTTCTTGTAGATAATATGTAAGAATCCAGTTCGTACCTCGAAGGGAACACATTACGTCTCCGCTACAAAGCCCAACTGGTTAGTGCTGTTTAGGGAGAGAGCCGCTTTTCGTTATGAGAACCATACGGAGCACACAAATACACTCTAAGGGCAGAATGCAGAGTTTTTAATTTTAAAAGTAGGTGTGACGTATATTTATTTTAGTTTCTTTCATGGCGCTGTCAGTGATGCGGATTATATGCACATCAAACGATTGGATGACAGTAAATTGGAAAGAATTATGAAGGAAGCGGCCGTCACCTAATTGAAAATATTCCTGGAATTCCCATGAAGTGGCTGACAAGAACCACTAAACCTGTTAGGATGTCGGTATTTCGACAGAGGTCCGAACAGGCCGCTTCCCGAATAGAGGTCAGAGCCGTACCTCATGGGCCAAATTGTTTCCACATAAAGTAACCACCGACCTTTAAAGTTTTTTTTTTTTGCTATTGGGGTGGGCCACTTCTCGCCTATTGTACCAGCCCTAGATGATAGGTGAGGGTGATTGTGGAGCAGTTGGTGGAATGAAGATTGGCAGGGGAAACCGAAGTACTCGGATAATACCTGCCCCAGCGCCACTATGTCCACCACAAATCCCACTTAACCAGACCCGGGATCGAACCCAGGCCGCCGCGGTGGGAAGCCAGCGACTAACCGCTTGAGATATGGCGCGGCCTACCATGGTACATGGTTAATATTGTGCGAGTCATGTAATATTTCTGACTGCCCTTTATGCTTTCCCCAATTCTATTGCAGGTATTGGCTGCGTGAAACATCTACGACTGCACGTCACACCTTGAATAGGTAACCTAACGGGATAAAAGTTGTTAGTGTTCAAGTAGGTCTTCATAATGGCGATTTCGGTTTCCATTGTGTGTTGAATGTAGAATCCAGTAATTTTGTAATGACGATATAACGATGTACGTCACTATCTGATGATGACGCAACCTCAGAGATGTTTTAGACAGAGTATACCATTATTTTTCCATGAGAGAAAACACGTAAAGCGAAAGGTCAGATCAGTGATTCATTTGTTTAATTGTTTTGTTGTGTTTATTCTCGATACAAAGCCGCACTCTGTTTTTCAATGGAAATTTTTAAACCGAGATCTGGAACTTGAACTTTCATATTTTCTCTATAGCTTATCGTTATGGGTCGTTTACTCAAGACAAATTGTTGATTTTTCAAACTGTGATGCTTGTTGCAGCGGACGCAATCTTTCTGAAGCGACAGCTGCAGGTACTGAACCTGCTACGTCACCTGAACCAGCCGCTGATCGATCCTGAACTCTTAGTCTTCAAGAACTCTTTCAGCCCACTGAATAATCTGAACAAGTTCAAGGTGACTGTTTGGCTGTAAACATTTAATTATGTCAACTAACTAAGTTCATGGAGCTGACCCATTCTTCAGAAGCCATCAGTTGTGCAGCTTCTCAGTAATTTAAGAAACTTTTATAGAACCCGAAGTTTAATTTCCATATTCACAAGAGCCCTCCACTGGTTCCTATCTTGAGTCAGATCAATCCAGTCCATACCACCGCATCCTACCTCCCTAAGATTCATTTTAATATTATCCACCCATCTACATCTTGATCTAGTGATCTAGTGGTCTCTTTCCTTCTAGCTTTCCCACCAATATCCTATATGTATTTCCCTTCTCCATCATTCATGGCTTTAACCAATTAGAACTGTATTTTATGAGCTGAGGCTGTCACGCCTGTGACTTCCGGGATATGACGCTGTGTACTTTCATACAACCTTGCCGACGTTTCGGAGGAATGCAAACCCACATCTTTAGGGGTCAAAGAATAAGCCCAGCAAACAGATGTCACTATGCCTGCATCTTACTTCCTCGGGTTACTCATAAACTTCTACCAGACTACACCCGAGGTCATGTCATTTACAGTGCTGCCTATTTTCGTACGCGATTGCCCAAATATCCAACAAATTCTAACATGGGAAGTTTGTCTATCACTTATTTTCTACAGCCGTGACTGCTGCAGAGATTCACACTGTCTGAGAATCCAGAACAGTCCCCAAGGGAGAAAGTCAGCAGTATGAAAACTGCATAATAAGGAGTTTCATGTATTCTTCGCCAAATATTACTAGGCTATATGAAGTCAGGGAAGATGGGGTGGGCGGGACATGTAGCCCGCATGAGAGACGTTTTGGTGTAAAATCCTGAAAGAAATAGATCTGAGCTTGTATGGGATGGGATTCTGAAAGTGTCATACATATACAAGTTTTTTTTTTTTCCTCGACACTACAGCCCCACTGGGCCTAGGCCTACCTCCATGAACTTCTCCGTTTCACTTCGGTTTTTCTAGATCTTACACATTCGGTAGGACTCCTTGGGCGGGTGATCAGCTCGTCGCAAGGCCTCTACATGTACACATTTACAAGTACTGGCCAATAATAAACCCTGTAGGTGGCTTTTGTGAATACGGCAATGAATTATTTCACTCACTCACTCACAGAGCTGGGCCCTTCTTGAGAAGCTGCCAGTTGTGCAGAATTATCTACTTCCATAAGTGGTGGGGAATGTGTATATAAACTGAGCGGCTTTCACCGTCTGAAGGATAACTCTGTTCCTTAGAATAAGCTGAATTATTTACTTAATCAGTGACTAAGTAAGTTACTAAGTTTGTTAGTTAGGCAGTCGCCTAATAAGATACTTGATGAGTTAGTCGGGATTTGGCCGCTCCATAGCTCAAGCGGTTCGTCGCTGGCTTCCCACCGCGGCGGCCCGGGTTCGATCCCGGGTCTGGTCAAATGGGATTTGTGGTGGACAAAGTGGCGCTGGAGCGGGTTTTCTCCGAGTACTTCGGTTTCCCCTGCCAATCTTCATTCCAATAAATTCTCCATCATCATAATCACCCGGGGTAGGCTACAACAGGCCAAATAGTGGCCGCCGTGCCGAGTGGACCCAGTTGGACTCCACCCCCCCACTAAACGAATTAAAAAAATATCTGGATTTAGTGTTCAGCAGTTTACTCAATCATTTAGAAAAATTGCGACTTAATCAGTCAGTGCACTTGTCACGAAACCAATATTTTAATTACACGAAAGGAGCCAGCATTTCAGTGAATTAAATAGGCCAGTGGCTGAGTAGTTTTGTTCTTTTTGCCGACGGACCTACCTGAGGCAAAGGGGCTTAGTGTAATAGAGTTCCATTGCTAGGGATATAAGCCATTTGTTCCTATGAGTACAGTCAAATTGCTGCATAGCAGAGCAGTAAATTTCTGCCGGTCCTCGCCAGCACAGGTTTCCCCATAAAGACTGACTGCCTGCATGCTAAATGTCTGCTGCTTCTCGCCATATAGTGATTCTTGGTTCTAAGTCCCACGCGACTCATGGCCATGTTTCACTGTCTGACGGCTCTGGGAGCCTTCAGATTAACTGCCAGCCACATTGCTTTGCTAGTATCCAGTTTTTATGGCTGCATCACGTTGCTATGGTTACAGGACCCGACGGCAGTAAAGAACTTTCTGAAACTGGTGACCGAGGGGAAGCTACTCGAACGTGATGCAATCTTCAGCTTGTTCGACGCGCGCCAACGCGCCCAGATGGTGACGCTGTTCGAGGTGCTGTATGGCGCCACTGATTACGATACCTTCCTCAAGGCAGCCGCATGGGCGCGCGACCGCACCAACCCTCGCCAGTTCCTGTACGCTTTCAGCGTGGCACTGTTGCACCGGGAAGACTGCAGGGGCGTGATACTGCCCCCCGCGTACGAGATCACTCCCCACATGTTCCTTACCACCGATGTCGTCAGGAAGGCTTACCAGGCCAAAATGATGAGGGTAAGTGCTCTGACAGGAGGACTTTCAGGCTGAAATTGTTCAATGATTGCTTGTTAGTTAATTGGTTAATAATCAGAGGAGCTAGTTGTTGGGAAATATTACAACAAAAACTTAGCTACGAATTTTTCTTGTATTTCCGCGTCATTTTCTTTTTATTGCTAGTGGGGTGGGACTAAGTCGCTTGTACTGCGGCCACTTCTGGCCTATTGTACCAGCCCCAGATGATAGGTGAGGGTGATTGTGGAGCAGTTGGTGGAATAAAGATTGGCAGGAGAAACCAAAGTACTCGGAGAAAACCTGCCCCAGCGCCACTTTGTCCACCACAAATCCCACTTTACCAGACCCGGGATCGAACCCAGGACCGAACCCGGGACACCGCGGTGGGAAGCCAGCGACTAACCGCTTGAGCTATGGCGCGGCCTATTTCCGAGTCATGGTTGGTGCCTTACGCTTGTTACAGACGCCCACTGTGATTCCCATGAAATTCACGGGATCGGTAAACAACCCTGAGCAGCGGGTAGCATACTTTGGAGAGGACATCGGCATGAACTCGCATCACAGCCATTGGCACATGGACTTCCCCTTCTGGTGGAAGCAGGAATACACAGTGGACAAGGACCGGAAGGGAGAACTGTTCTTCTATATGCACCATCAGATGGTCGCCAGGTGAGCCCTGGGGACAACGGACCTATATTAAATAGCTGAATTAGTACCAAACCTTTCTTCCCAGTTATAAATTGGCCAGAGCGTGAAGCTGACCTGACACCTCTGTCTAGTCTCAAGGTTAAGAATGCTTGGAACTATCTCTTCACTTCCTCATATACAGAGCGTCCCAGGAGGAAAGGTCAGTATTCTGGAACGTCATAGTATCGGTTATTCTAAGCAAGAAAGTGTATATGTACATGTGTACTATTCCGAACGGTCTCCGAGAGNGAATTAGTACCAAACCTTTCTTCCCAGTTATAAATTGGCCAGAGCGTGAAGCTGACCTGACACCTCTGTCTAGTCTCAAGGTTAAGAATGCTTGGAACTATCTCTTCACTTCCTCATATACAGAGCGTCCCAGGAGGAAAGGTCAGTATTCTGAGACGTCACAGTATCGCTAATTCTAAGCAAGACAGTGTACGAGTATATGTACATGTGTCCTATTCCAAACGGTCTCCGAGAGAGAGCTATTTCACTGTGCAGTACACTGTACAGTGTACAGACGAGCAACACGCCATGTCCTCACACGAGTTGCACCGAGAGAGAGCTATTTCACTGTGTAGTACACTGTACACTGCACAGACGAGCAGCGCGCCGNCGTCCCAGGAGGAAAGGTCAGTATTCTGAGACGTCACAGTATCGCTAATTCTAAGCAAGACAGTGTACGAGTATATGTACATGTGTCCTATTCCAAACGGTCTCCGAGATAGAGCTATTTCACTGTGCAGTAGACTGTACACTGTACAGACGAGCAGCGCGCCATGTCCTTACACGAGTTGCAAAGGGCATTGATGTTGACGGTGGAATTTTCGAAAATATATTATAGTAGGTGAACTGATGGGGAGCTTCGTAACTTGTACTGTTCTCCAAGTCTAATTAGCATGATCAAGTAAGGGCGGATGAGATGGACAGGGAATATAACACGAATGTGGGAGAAGAGGAATCCATATAGGATATGGGTGGGAAAGCCAGAAGGAAAGAGACCACTGGGAAGACTAAGACGTAGGTGAGTGAACAATATTAAAATGGATCGTAGAGAGATAGGATGGGATGGTATGAATTGGATTGATCTGGCTCAGGATAGGGACCAGTGGAGGGCTCTTGTGAACACGGTACTGAACCTTCGGGTTCCTTTAAAATGCTCGGAATTTCTTGAGTAGCTGCACAATTTTCGGCTTCTCACGAAGGGCTCAGCTACATGAGTGATTGCTTAGATAAACTGCCCCAGTTTTGCCACATGAACAATAAATACTGCTATTAGAAATAGTACGTAATATATCTTTCCTACCAACAATTACAAGTGTACAGTGAAATAGCCCTATCTCGGAAACCGTTCAGAATAGGGCACGTGTACACATCTTTTTTGCTTCGAATGACCGATACTATGACGTCCCAGAATACTGACCTTTCATTCTGGGACACTCTGTATATTTATGTCATGGTGCGTAACTAGGCGAAGGGACAGTTGTGATATTTATCCTTCAAAACAATAACGATAATTTGTCGTACACCCTGTAGGTTCGACGCCGAGCGTCTCTCAAACGACCTGCCAGCGGTGGAGCCACTGGAGTGGGACCAGCAGATCACTGAGGGCTTTGCCCCCGCGGCGACCTACGAGAATGGGCAGGAGTTTCCCATGCGGCCAGATAACATGAAGTTCTGTGACTTGCCTTCCCTCTCAGTTCGAGATATGAAGATCGTCGAGGGTCGCATCAGGGATGCTATCGCCTCTTCCTTCGTCAAGACGGTAGGCCTGTGTTATACCGGATGTCCCAGAAAACCCTTGCAAAGAAACGCTGATACTTCTTAAAGTAGCTAGTTATCATGACCACGACCTTTTAGTTATCTGGTAGAAGTTCTGTCTGCACATACAGAAATTTAGTTTCATTAGTTCTCATAATGCTACTGCCAATGTTTCACTAACTTTTGTCATTATTGTACCTTCTGTGGAAGAAGTGCACGACATAAATGCTTACAGTTCTGGTCCTGTCTCTCGGAATGTCTGTCCGCATGTTTCAACGTGAGAACTGCTTGGATAGATTTTGATGATACTTGGTATGGGACATTGTAACATTTGAGGCTGTACAAAATTCATAATTTTTAATTTTCTTAGTCAGTAATACCAAAATGGCAAATGCACGAACTTATGAGTTGAGAACATGGCGGCTATGCGAATCTTGATTTTTATGGTTGAAAAAATCCGGCCTCTCGGACCTGGAGAACGAAAAGCTGATAATGTATGAGCTAGAAAAATCTTGCTTATTTCATATTTTTTATTCTTCCTTTCTTTCTTCCGCGGTTCCTTTCATTGTTTTACTCTTTCTGTCCTTGTGTCTCTGGCTTATTTCTTCCATTTAGCTCATATATATTTCTTTTTCCTCGCCTCGTTTATTATGTCCATTTTATCTTTCTTCGTTTCATATTTCATTCATTTTTATCTTTTCTTCTTTATATACTTTAATTGCTTCCTTCTTCCTGCCTCTGTTCCTCTGGTTTGTTTCTTTCTGTTATTTATTCCTTTATCTCTCCCACTCCTTTTAATTTTTTCTTCCTTTCGTATGTTCTTCTTTTTGCATTTCTTTTCATCGCTTTCCTCTTCTTTACTTTGTTTCTTTCTTGTTTCCATTTTCCTTCATAGCTACCTTTTCTCCCGCATTTGTTTCCATCAAACTAACATACCTCTTGCTCCCTGCAGGCCGACTCGCGGCTCCTATCTATCAACAACACGGCCGGCATCAACCTGCTAGGGGAGATCATCGAGTCCTCAGCGAACAGTGTCAACCCTGTATACTACGGTCAGCTGCACAACGACGGTCACGTGATGCTGTCCAAGGTGACGGATCCTCTCCAGCGCTACGGGGTCCCCCCTGGCGTCATGGAGCACTTTGAGACTGCGACTCGCGATCCTGCCTTCTTCAGGTTGCACAAACATGTGGACAACCTCTTCAAGCTGCACAAAGACTTGCTCCTACCCTACGACGTATCTGAGGTAACTTGAAACATTTTCCAAGGAGGGGGCAGACAACTAAAGGTTATTTTCAAAGGGGAAGAGCCGTATAATTTAACAGAAGTTGAGACTGTGGATGTTGGATGTTGGACACTGACTGGAGTGCTGTGTACGTTTCAGTTGGACTTTCCTGGCGTGAAGATAGAAGCTGTTAAGGTCGTTGGCAGCTGCAAGGCCAGCACACCCAATCAGCTGATCACTTACTTTGACGAGTCGCACATTGATCTGAACAACATTGTGGAGAACGTAGGGCAGGAGCAACCCGTGGATATCAAGGTAACGCAGCGAAGTTCCAGCCAAACGCTCACGTGGTGTGAGAAAGAGTTAGGTTAGGTTTGAGTTTTTTATTGCTTGCTTTTCAAAATTCTTACAATTTTTAAACTTTAATATCTCTTCTGCAACACTGGTTTATTCACACTATGTGTTTCGACCAACATTGGTCATATTCAGGTGTCTCTAAAATTGCTGATGAAACTGCTGTATTTCCGTTCGAACGCTCAATTTTTGGGATATACCCTCGTCTACACGCCGACGTGTCCAGTTGTGACCCATAGTTCCTCTTATTGTGTCGTGTGTAGCTGTTATGAATGTTGCATGTGAGACAGCTAATAACCAACGTGCTGTAAGTGACTTGCAGCAGGATGCTACGATACTATGTTATAAAGTGATTTGAAATCAGCACGTCTCACAATAGTATTAACATTGCGGTGCTCAGACTTGTGACACCGTATAGTCTGATAAATATGCATCAACGTTTCATAGGTAACTGTTACCACTGTCTTCAGGATACGGCTAATCCTATTTTGTGGAATTTCTTTATGACGCTGTAAATATATAAGTAGGAAAACCTGAAGGAAAAGAACCACTGGGAAAAACCAGACGTAGATGGGGTAATTTTAAAATGGATTTTAGAGAACTTGGATGGGAAGTGCGACGTTGATTTATTTGACTCAGGATAGGGGCTAATGGCGGGCTCTTGTGAACGCGTTAGAAAGCATTCTGGTTCCATAAAATGTTGAGAAATTATTGATCATTTGAGCAACTGGAGGTTACTCAAAGAGGACTCAGCTCCATTTAGTTGATTAATTAGTTAGTCTGTAGATAGATTATATAGCGTTGGATGATTGATGAATGACGAACTGAAAAGGATTAGGAAGAAAGTGATTTTGCATAATGTTGGTGCTATCTCGAATTTGACAGGGGGGCTTGAGAAAACCACAGAAACGTCAGTCAGAATAACCTGTGTACTGGTCAAGGTCCTACCAATCACCTCCCAAATACAAGCATACAGCATTATTTTTGCACCAGTCTGCACGGGAATAAGGTTTCATGTTATAATGGCGGTATCACAGAGTGACGCCGTGTAGTTTAGTAGATATGTGTCAGTGTTTTAGAAGGACCTTGAAGAAACCTCAAGGTAATATTGCTTTTTTCCCATGCTGCATTTACTCATATGACCAGAAGATGGAGACAAGAAATTCAAGTTAAACAACAGACTACACGGTGCCACATCGCACATGACAGAAATCGTTGAAAAGAAGGCGTGGTTTAAAATCAATTCAAGAACATTATGAATGATATCACGACACACCCTGTTGCACATTGCCTGAACTACTGTAGCCGCAGGTTGATATAGTGTGAAGTTCTCGCGTCTGTCATCAGCACCGAACCCGAGCAAGCTGCCGGAAGTAATGCGGGTACTTGCCTTGATGACTCCCCCTCCCCCACTCCAGTTTCTATCACGACCATAAATCAGGCAGAACAATTAGCTAGGAGCTGTGACGCCTGCATTCAGACGGATGACAAGTAATCTGTTAGCGTCACCATCCTTCCGTCCCGTGGTGAAGACAAAGATTAATACACGTAACACAATCTAAAGTAAGAGAGGCAAAGTACAAGGGGAAAATGCATTACAAGTAGCTTTACTGCCTTAAAATATTGTAGCATGTACAGCCGTTACTATGCAATAGGTGAATATACATGTACAACGACCGTTTCTGTGCAAGGGCTCGGTAAACACGTTCCCACAGAAACTAATACGCACTTAACAAGAGATTTACTGTGCAAACTTGGTGTTTTCTATGTGGTCCATGCTGAAATCTTATGAGAAGGACAATTTGAAGCAGCCAGTTTAGGTGAGCTCTGCAAGGGAGGCTGTAACAAGGGAACCTGAACGCATGAAGCTGAAGAATCTCCACTGTTAGAAGCCGTTGCGAGGGAACAGCTGGAAAAGGCTTAGCAGTTGCTGTGGTGATTTGAAGTATGGAGATCAGCGATAGCATTGTAATTACTTATAGTGGTAGCATAGTTAGTTGAGGCACTGTGCAACAGGCCGGATGGTCGCGGGTTGGATTCCCCATGAGGTCATTGGATTTTTCAATTGACCTAATAACTCCAGCCGTATTATGATCTGGGGGTCGAGTTAGCCTTTAATAGAAACGAGTACCAGGAATCTTCTGAGTGTAAAGGGCGTCTGGCGTGTAAGTCTGACAACTTCACAGCCATCCGTGAGCCGATTGTCTAGAAAAAGTGGGAGCCTCGACGTCTCACAAACCTATGGGCCTCCACGGCCTGTTACAGGGATAGCTTGGCGCGTAAGGCTAACAACCACACCGCTGGATTCTTTACCATTTTACCCCATTGTTATTGTAGTGGCTGTCTCTACCCACCTCCATTTTTACTTCCCTTATTTTCGTTCTTTAAAGGGTTAATGCTCTGTTGCAGGCAGTGGTAAGCCGACTGAACCATGAACCCTTCAAGTACGTCATCACAGTCAACTCCAAGAAGCCTGTAAGGGGGATTGTCCGTATATTCCTTGCACCTAAGTTGAACTGGTTCGGCCAGCGAGTGCCCCTGGACGTGGCCCGTTGGGGGTTCATTGAGTTGGACCGATTTCCAGTTAGACGTGAGTAAATCTCGATGCTACATAAACACGGCAGTCGTCGGACCGCGGGCGACTACCAGTCCGCAGGTTAAAGATAGCGTTTTCCTCTGTGCGTAATCATAACGCCATGAGGACGGATGAGGGCGTGAAGGCATAGCTCCACGAATTATTAACCCCGGCACTGGATGGAGGTAAGCTTCTGGGATTTAGCCCAACTGTACCCATTTTATAGGAGGCTAGGTAGACTCCAGTGCCGCTGTGGACGCTGTAGAGGAGAGAGAAATCTCTTGTTACCGCCGGGAATTGAACCACGTTTCCCCGATAGTATAGCTTGTAGCTTAGCCACTATACCGAGTACAGAGTCGCGGTTTGAAGTTGTATTATAAGGTAAAGAAAACGCTGTGTTCCAATCAAATTTTTTTCCCCCCTCGTTTTTGTCACTTTCCCAACAGACTTTTAAATAAGAAAATCGTCAGTGAATTTCTCCTGGTCTATCTGTTCGTGTGGAATAATTCAAGAACAGATGAGCGAATTTTCATGAGATTTTATATAAGTGAGGTTCTTTCTTTTTCTAAAATGTGTTGATAGAATATAATTTTAGCTTAACTCGGACAGCAGTAACAAACACACTGTGAATGATGAAGACCTGCGTGCATTTATATACGTAACTCGCTATATATATATACGGGCTATGCCAGGAGGAAAGGTAATATTCTTGGAGGTCACAGTATCGGTCATTCTAAACAAGAAATTGCGTATATACATGTGTCCTGTTCCGAACGGTTTCCGAGATACAGCTATTTCACTGTACAGTACACTGTGCAGACGAGCAGCGCGCCATGTCCTCACACGAGTTGCACCGAGATAGAGCTATTTCACTGTGCAGTACACTGTGCACTGTACAGACGAGAAACACGCCATGTCCTCACACGAGTTGCAAAGTGCATTGATGTTGACGGTGGAATTTCGGAAATGTATTATACTAGGTAAACTGTACCATCTTTGTCACTTGAACAATAAATACCGGTATTAGAAACAGTACGTAATATGTCTTTCTTAACAACAGTTTTGGAATTGTGCAGTGAAATAGCTGTATCTCGGAGATCGTTCGGAATAGGACACATGTACATACATAATTTCTTGTTTAGAATGACCTATACTATGGCCTCCCAAAATATTAACCTTTCCTCCTGGAACGCACTGTATATCAAAAGAAAACTATTTTGAATAGACGCTGCGGGGAAAAACGAAACATTTTTTACCCAATACACTTTCTACGCAAATCTTTCTTCTTTCTAGATAATAAATGTAAGACAGAGAAATTATTTCCCGTCTGAGCTCATGTTTTTGCCATGAAGACGTAGGCATCATTTTCCTCCGAAATTACACGGCGTCACGTGCCAGAACATAATCACTTTCATTGTTATCTCCGTGTGAACCTTAGATCTCAAATACCCAAATCTAGTCACATGGTCAAGGTCACTATCTCAGTTGCCATGTCCAGTTCTTTGTGAGTAGAATGCAAATTCAGAGACACAGGGTCGAAGAGACTCGATTTCTCACCAAGAGCGCCTGCAGACTTCAGTTTAGAGTATCCGCTCGCTTGTACTGACGGAGAAGTTGCCGATGTTCACGGCGTTCATTGTGTTTCCAGTGGCGAGCGGAGACAATATAGTGTCACGCAATTCTGTGGACTCCATCATCACCGTACCCGAGCCCAGAAGCTTCTCGAACCTTGTAAGCGATGTCGAGAAGGCAATACGCGGCGAACAGGTGTTCAGCTACGACAAGGTAATAACTTGATACGATATCCCTGACTGTGCGCCTTGCAAAGGTAGTTGCGATTACGACTGGTCGTCGGAGGGCACAGTGACAGGCGTACAATTGTAAATTGTATCTAGGGGAATATTTGGAAATTCAATTGAAATATAATTGTAAATTTGCTTTTAGGGGACTAGAGGATTAAGTAACAGAAGTGTAGCTGTGATGTAGGATCAGGAGAATAGTATAAAAAGTGCCTGAAACACACAATTTTATACTGAGCAAACTGACTGAAGTATATCTGTGACATTGATCTAGACTAATACTGGTTTTTCATTTCGGGTAAATTGCTGCTGGCTTCGCCAACACAGTCAATCATAATTCCGAACCCCGCGGGACCTGTGACCGTACTATTTGTCTCGTGACACGGGGCAAAGTTTATTTACGATCTTGACCTAAGAGGATTCTGGTCAAAGTGACCCACGTATGTTTGTGATTTTATATAAGGGAATATTTGACAAAATGGCTGAAGTATTTTTGAAATGTTTATTTAGGAGAATGTTGATTAACGAACTTATATATATATATATATATGAGTTTGATCTAGGGGAATAATGGGTAAAGGGGCTGAAGTTCGTATGTGATTTTGATTTAGAATAATGTTAGGCAAAGTGACTGGTGTACGTTTACAATACTGATTCAGGGGAATGCTGATCAATATGTATGGAATACAGTGTTGTCGCTGTTTGGTTTCAGTATTATCGACACTGCGGTTTCCCTCGCCGCCTGTTGCTGCCCAAGGGAAAACCTGAAGGCATGGTTTATCAGCTGTACGTTGTTGTGACTGATTATGACAAAGACATTGTAAGTTGCTGAGGGTATGTCAAGGGTGGAAAACTTTGTGAATATGTTATAACAGTTTCGAGCTAAATTGTAATTATCTCAATAATTTTAGAGACTTTGAATTTGCTGGACAATTTATTGATTCATTCTTAATTTATATTTTCATTTTCATCAGTAATCTGTCATACGACAGGTCCACAGTCTCATCCAAAACAGTTCCTCCACTTAATGCGGTCTAGAGCCTTCTCCTTCAAATAAAAATATCCTCTTCTGTCCCCAAGGTCATCCAGCATCTTCTTACGTCTGTTTCCTCGTCTTCTGGTCGCATACATGGTATCTCTGTTTTTGGAAAGAGACTATCCAGGAAAATTGATAATGTGGTAGTTTTTCCATTTGCTTTCCACATCGCAGTACAACAGCCGTTCAAACCACTCTGGTCACGCCTGTTGCTATACGAACTTGAACCATCTCGAGCATCATTTGCTCTGTGCTTCAAGTCGCTGCTGATGACGCTGCTTCCGGCATCAGTTTTTGGTGTCTCTCTTCGTCTGATGCCTACCCTTTGACCTGTCCAGCAAGGGAGGCCCTGCCAGTAGCTACGCTACCGCTGGTATAGCTCTCAGGGTCCTTGGCATACTCAAACCCCCTCACCACGATAAGGTGGAGACACCAACGAGGGGGTTAATTTATATAACGACATTTAAATCTATGATATAGCTTGAATGATAGGACTATTATTGCGTCATAAATCTGAAACGTGTGGAAGGAAGTGGTATTGGCCTATATAAGCTGCATTGTTTCAGCATTTGCCTGAAGGGACTGAGGAAAACTACAAAAACACCCACAGCCGAACTCTGAACCCAGGTTCTCCAGAATTCTATTCATCAGTGGTTATTATATTACCATAACATTCAGTGTCCGCGGTTCAAAACCCCGTTTGTTCATCGGTGGTTTCTTATCTCCACTTATGTGTTCAGAAAGACTTTACTGGTCAAGCAGGCCGCGCCATAGCTCAAGCGGTTAGTCGCTGGTTTCTCACCGCTGCGGCCCGAGTTCGATCTCGAGTCTTGACAAGTGGGATTTGTAGTGGACAAAGTGGCGTTGGGGCAGTTTTTCTCCGAGTACTTCGGTTTCCCCTGCCAATCTTCATTCCACCAATTGCTCCACAATCACCCTCACCTATCATCTGGGGCTGGTACAATAGGCCAGAAGTGGCCGCCGTACAAGAGACTTAGTCCCACCCCACTAGCAATAAAAATTGTCAAGCAGTGTCTTATACAGTGTGCCCCAGGAAGGAAGGTTAATATTCTTGAAGGTTGCATTACAGTATCTGCCATTCTAAGCAGAAAAGTATATACGCACTTGTGGCCTATTCCGAACAGTTTCCGAGATACAGCTATTTCACTGCGCAGTTCGAAAATTGTTGATATGGAAGAGATATTACGTACTGTTCCTAATACCAATATTTGTTCAAGTGACAAAGTTGGGGCAGTTTTCGTAGTATAATGCATTTTCGCAATTTCCACCGTCAACATCAATGCACTTTGCAACTCGTGTGAGGACATGGCATGTTGCTCGTCTGTACTGTATACAGTGTACAGTGTACTCTACAGTGAATTAGCTCTCTCTCGGAAACCGTTCGGAATAGGACACATGTACATATACAGTTTCTTGCTTAGAATGGCCGCTACTGTGACTTCCCAGAGTATTGACCTTTCCTTCTGTGACATCCTGTATAATGTGTATATGGAGTTCTTTCAATTGGGTTAAGTCAGCTGGAGCGTGAAAGTGACCAACTTCAAGACTTTAACAGGAGCTGTAATAATATGTATATTTGACTCACATAATCGTAACTAATTTTATGGAGTGGAATCCATGAGACGCTAATAATTATTCATCTAGTTAATATATTCCCCAGGTTTTGTGTTCGTTGCCATGTTCACAAAAACCTGCCGCTGATCTCTCTCCTGATCCATATGAATGTAGTCCACGATCTTCCACTCTACTTCTTGAAAATTCTTTTTAATATTATTACCCCATATATACATGACCGCCTCTGTTGTCTAGTGGTCAGAGTTCCTGCCTACAGATCCAGAGGTTCGGATTCGATTCCCTGTACTACCAGATTTTCTTAGAAGTAGTGGGTCTGGAACGGGTCCACTCAGCCTCGTGAGGATAACTCTGGAGCTCTTTGAAGGAAATTGCGCCTCCGGTCTAGAGAACAGAAATTAACGGCTGTGGGGATTCGATGCGCTGACCACGCGACACCCTCTGTCCGCTAAAGTTGGCACTAACTTCGCCGATAAGAGGCGGTCACTCAGTCGGTATAATTCTCTTGCGGACTCGAGTCACGGATTTTTTTTTGTTTGTATATACATAGGGTTTCCAAGTCATCTGCTCGTGTCATGTTTTTTTTTCAGTTTATATTTTCTATGCAATTCTTATCTGCCTCATGTATTCTACAGTCCATACAAGTTTCATCGATCTTGATTTTAATATCCTCGTAAAATTTTATAAAAAATGCAGTTAATGAAGCTCCCTATCACGAAGTTATATACATATTTTTATCCTGTCTCTTAGGCCCAAATGTTCTGCTTATCACCCAGTTCTCGAGCACTCGTCTCTCATAATATAAGCAGTTGACAGATAATTTTTAAACGAACTGCATAAGAAGGGCATGTCCTGATATTGCTTGCAGGTGGAACCAGGAATACAGCCGGAAGATGTTGAGAACCTGAGCTCCCTTGGCTACTGCGGTGTCATGGGTGGAAAGATACCTGATGGCAGGCCCATGGGATTCCCCTTCGATCGACGCATTGTGTCTCCCGAACAATTCCTTACTCCCAACATGGAGGTCGTGGATATCACTATCAAGAACGTGAAGCAGAAGCCAGCAGAGTAGACAGCTCTTGAGATGGTGTCCTGCCTTTAGGGAACTGAAGTAAATGGCATTCTACCAGTTTCCTGTCTTTCCAGAATATGTGACTGGATAAAATTGCCACAAATGATTACATTTATAGCTCTGAAAGCTTTCTTTAGTCATTGAATATTTTTCTAACGTTATAAATAAAGTCTGGACTTTTCTGAGACTACGGTGTTTTGATATGTGTCACCTTGTTGTTTGGTAGATGTTTACCGATGTTTTGGAGGAACCTACTACTTACATTTTAAGGGTAGAAGTTACTTATTTCCTGAATATTGAGGCAGCAGGTCTATTCGAAACGTTAGTATAATTCTGCCGAGTTACATGGCGTCACACCTCATAAAACTACGTTCCTTTCACAGACACAAGAAACATGTATCTAATATTGGTACATTTTATGAGAAATATGTTTGGGATTGCTAAATGCTGGAATGTCCTTTAGCTACAGAATATGTCTGATTTGTGAAGAGCAGATACATAGAGAGCCAGAATTTATCAGAATATTAATTGCTGTAATGTTGAAGATGTTCAAAGTGAAGTTCAGATTGTGTTCATTTATTGAACATCACAACATTTTTCGGTACAGAAATACAGCTATTTCAATCCATTAATTTATGACATCTGCATTTGTATAGGCCTATTTGCATATTCAATTAACCAAATTCTGTATCAGAAGTGAACGCACTAATATGTCTCTTTATGGCTTTTTCGGTCTCAACACAACTATCAAAATCTCATTCACACTTACTGTGTATAATGAGTTTAGAATTCTTAATGTTATGGCAGTGTGCTATAGAGCCATACTCAGGCAGTTTACAATAATAACTCTTCTCAAACTACTGAATTACGTTTTACATGAATTCATATATTAAAATATAACAATTATTACTAATGTATTTGACTTTACACATCTTTAATATATTCTAATTTTCGTTAGAATTAATACCATTTTTGTAAATATATTAAAATTGGAATGAAAGTTTTATAATACGTGGGTGCTTAGAGATGTACATAAAGGCGTCTATAAAAATATAAAACAATATAAACATAATGAAACTTTTAACATATAAAATACACTAAGACAATAAATTAAAATATTGTAAGATTTGAGGTTTTCACAGTGGTGACTATGAAGAAAGCAATCCTCTGGGATGTGGCACCGTGTAGGTGTGGTGTTAACCGACGTTTTGGAGGAACGTGGAGGCGATACGTTCCTCCGAAACGTCAGTTAACACCACATCTACACGGTTCCACATCCCAGAAGACTGCTTTCTTTAATTAAAATATTCCTCGTTATGTCATGTTTAAATATCACATACATTAATATTGTTCATGTTAGTGTCCATCACTGCAATTATCACGCTACAATATGTAGTTACGTGTATGTACGAGCGTTGTCTAATATAAATACTGAGGATGCTGTAATTTGCCGTCTGAGTGGGGATATTGAACAGCTCAACAGTGGAATGATAATTTGCAAGGGGAAACTGAAGAATCTAAGAGAAACCCTATTTGTGCACATTCGTCCACCATGACTCTCACATTTTTATCCACAACAGAAGCTGAGTTTTCGTGGTATTTATTGCAACATTTTATGAATCAATTATTATTCATTTCCCTTCCCGCCTCTGTGGTCTAGTGGTCAGAGTTCCTGGCCAAAATCCAGAGGTCCCAGGTTCGATTTCCGGCGCTACCAGATTTTCTGAGAAGTAATGTGTATGGAACGGGGTCCACTCAGTCTCGTGAGCATAATCGAGGAGCTATTTGAATGGAAAAATAAAGGCTCCGGTCTAGAAAACTGAGATTAACGGCCGTGGGAATCTGTTGCGCTGGCCCCGTGACACTATCTATCCGCAAAAGTTGGCAGTAACTTCGCCGACAAACTGCGGTCGTTCGGTCGGTATAGTTCGCTTGCGAACTACAGGCCACGGAGTTTCATTTCCCTTCAGTACATAGAAATTGATCAATTTTCTTTTTCGCACTACATTATATTTTTTTTTTTTTTTTTTTACATTTTCTCTTTTCTGATTTGATAAAAACCAGGCTTAGCACAAATAGTACTTTATATCTTGATGTTAACGGAGTTCATAAAGGCATGATTATACTCATTGGTTAGTGACATGGCCACCCCTGAATTTTTATTTCTATTGTTGTGTATGAATGTGTAATCTTCAAACCGTGGAGTATTTCTTAATCAAATTATATATAAGTTTTCTATGTCCTCCATACGTTCTACGTTTTCTTTCATTGCTTAAAGTGAGGTGAGACTGAGTCCCTGTGTACTTAGACCTTCAAATGACCCATTGTAGCTGCTCCTAATGACTAGGTCAGGGAACCGAAACACCTGGTGGAAGGGGAATTGTCAAGGGAAACCAAAGTACTCTCAGAAATCTTGTTCCAGCGCCACATTTCTTACCTTGGAGCCTTTAATTCTTTATACCACAATGGTTAGTATATATACCACTTGCTTTAACATTAAAAATGTTTTGTACTATGACTACACGGTGTATTTTCGTGTTTCTTACGATTCTAAGAATAATCAACGATTATTTCTCTGAACAACATTAACTGATATGTGCTGATAATGGAGCTGCGGTGTGATTTCTGTGAGATAGGAACTGTTTTTTTTAATATTATTAAAAACACATCTTGACATGTGTTTTCTTAGTTTCGCTTCGTCTTTAAGCAAATTCTGAGATGGTTCCCAGGTTCCAAGTTGCTACTGTCTGCTCCTCATACAGCCCTCCGCGATTTAAGTTAATCATTACTAAAATTAATTTGCCGTAAAGTTAAGAAAATTATCGTTTCGAATTATACAATTCGACACTAATTCCGAAAAACAAAATACCGCTGCCCCTGTCTCAAGCCACTGTTTCTAACCAGCCTAACGTCTTTTGGCCGCGTCATAGCTCAAGCGGTTAGTCGCTGGCTTCCCACCGCAGCGGCTCGACCTCAATCCCGGGTCTGGTCAAGTGGAATTTGTGGTGGACAAAGTGGCGCTGGGGCTGGTTTTCTCCGAGTACTTCGGTTTCCCCTGCCAATCTTCATTCCACCAAATTCATCATCATAATCACCCGGAACAGGCTACAATAGGCCAATCAGTGGCCGCCGTGCTGAGTGGACCCAGTTTGACTCCACCCCCCACTAAGCGAATTTAAAAAGAAAATCTAACGTCTTCACTTTCACACTGCCCTTGTCAGAAAGATGAAGGGTAGACCCTGAGATCGTTTTACATGTGATGCTCTCTCTGCCTCAAAATAAGATGTTCCTCATCTCTTCTATGACTTTCGCTTATCACTTATCCTTCTAATAGTCCTTTACTCCTCTGTTTCTTTCTTCAAGATTTTGTGTGTTAAGATAGAGACTGGTCGGTTCTATCAATTTCCTTTTGCTTTAAAGAGGTAAGGCCGGGTACAGACTAGCGAGCTGTTGCATGTAACGTAACGGTTACTGTAACCACGTCTTCGTATGGACGGTACGTCCATAGTCGTCATGTAACCAGCTTCGAGCGACCCGATCCACAGTGCTCGTGGTGAGCTCGCCTTGAAGACATGTCTTCCTCCTTATCGCTACTCCTGGCTCGGAGGAAACGTACACATTTACGAGCAAGCGATTGTGGCGTCCAAGAGCCTACTGCGAGTCCCTTTGTGTTCGCAGCAAAAACCGACAAGGCAGTGGCTCGCCGGTCGTGTTACAGAGCGCGCTTGAAGTACGTTCGCGAGCGTGGTTCGGAAGGCGTCCACACTAACAGAATGTGGTTACAGTAACCGTTACGTTACATGCAACAGCTCGCTGGTGTGTACGCGCCCTTACGTACCCGTTCCTGTTGTATTACTTTTACCTGCACTATCCTTTCCTTCAAAATGTGTTTACATATTTCTTTTTTCCCCTTTACACATTCAGCCCCATTCCTGTAACATTTTTTAAACATTTTCTTCTAACGCATGTCAATTTGAGATTTTCATCGCTTTGTAGACGTCCACGCAGCTGAAAATTATATATATGTCAGGTTTTAATTAAAAACTTCTTTCTTTTCATCAACACTGAGCAATTAGTTTCAAAATTTCCCTCCTTGTTCTGGTTCCGATGTAATGACAATTTAATCTTTTGTCCTGTGGCATGTCTGTTAAATGGAATGTCAGTTACATTTGGACCGAAGGAGAGCAAATGCAACCTATATGATACTTTGATTCCTACAGTTTTAAATAGTATATGTGTCTTTGTGCTTAATGAAGCTACACGCCATGAAGATGGATGGTGAAGTGGAGGTATAGTTCCATACAATCTTAATATCGGCGCTGGATGGAATTGAGTGGTCAGCTTCATCTCCAGGCCGCTTTGCTCCCACGGAAACAACTCTGTATTTTACCATCGTTTAGAAAGCTGTGTAGTCACCAGAGCTCCACTATATGGCATATCACATCAAAGAACCCATCCGTGATGTGGTGATCAGGAAGTTCACTGAAGATACGGCGCCACCGACTGATATACCGGAAGTAACCTTTATCGAATTCCGCTTATGACAGTGACTTACTTACTTACGCATGGAGCTGATCCCTTCTGGAGGAGCTGCCAATTCTGCAGCTACTGAAGAATTTCCCAGCATTTTATGGAACCCAAAGGTTCATTACCGTGTTCACAAGATCCCTTCACTGGTCCCTATCCTGAGCCAGATCTACCCAATCCACACCATCCCATCCTATCGCTCTAAGATCCATTCTAATATTGTCCACCCACCTACGCCTTGGTCTTCCCTGTGGTCTCTTTCCTTCTGGCTTTCCCACCAATATCCTATACGCATTCCTTGTCTCCTCCATTCGTGCTACATGACCTGCCCACCTCATCCTCTTTTACTTGATCATTCTAATTATACTTGGAGAAGAGTACAAATTATGAAGCTCCTCGTTATGCAGTTTTCTCCAACATCCTGTCACTTCATCCCTCTTCGATCCAAATATTCTCCTCAACACCCTGTTCTCAAACACCCTCAGTCTGTGTTCCTCCCTTAATGTCAGAGAACAAGTTTCACACCCATACAGAACCACAGGCAAAATTATAGTTTTGTATATTCTAATTTTTATGTTTTTGGACAACAGACGAGAAGACGAAAGGCTCTGGAGTGAATGGTAGCAAGCATTACCCGAGTTCAGTCTCCTCTTAATTTCC